TCTTAGCTCTAGGTTTAATACATAAATAAATACATAATATATTCAAGTATATATTATATGTATTTGGACAAGTTTAGCCTTTGTTTCTATATTTTAGGTGCTCCTGATCTAAACAGCATTTTATACAACACTAGTTTGTTATTTATTAGTTCACACGTTAGTTTTATTGATCCAATACCTCTGCAACAAAATGTAATTCCTATTGGAGGATTTCACGTGACTCCTCCTGAGCCCTTACCAAAGAAAATCAAGCATTTCTTGGATTCCGCTCCCCACGGAGTTATCTTATTTTCGATGGGTACAAATAAAGGTATCACTTTTAATGCATGGCAAAAGAAAGACATGTTGAAAGTGTTTGCAAAACTTTCACAAAGGGTGATCTGTAATGTAAATTTAGCTCCATTTGAGATACCAGAAAATGTGCTGGTAGAAGATTGGGTGCCCCAAAAAGACATCTTAGGTAAGTTTTATAAATAATAATAAGTACTAAGGTAAGATCTGGGTTCAAGTCATAACATATCATCAATAATCCCTCATTATTTTTGTTACAAATATTAATAACACACGAACGTGTATTATATTTATTTTCGATATATTTCAGCTCAAATAAAACTTAAGATACGAGTTTTTTGTCTTGTCCGTTTTCCGTTGCTACCAAAAGAATTAATCTGCTAAAACAAGTTGTTTTTTTTAGTATTTAAACAAACATCGATATTATGTTACCGCTAATTCTTCTCTTTCCAATATAAGAATTTTTATTTTTACGACCACAAATGGCCATAAATATGTTTTCCTAATGCATGACACCATGCATTTCTTGTTTTATAACATTTCACTACAGTTGAGGTTAACCTTGAAGATTCAGTAGTTTTGTGTTAACATATTTCACCTAGTAATGTGGCAATGGAACAAGTAATGAAGTTCTAGGCATCACATTATCTAGCTACGAAAAGCTCAAAACACAAGTGGAAGGAATGCAAAAATCAAGATTTACAAAATGATTGTGCAACCTTCGGTTATGTATGGTAGGGAAACTTGGGTGTTACATCCGAAAAATACACAGAAATTAGAACGATAGGAAAAAAGATATTACGCATTTACAAAAGATTGGCAAAGATTTACGATATATGGAGGAGCAAAGGAAAATGACTGCGTATGCCTAATAGCCTGAACTATAATATAAAAGGTAAAAGCACAAAGAGAACGTTGGATGGAATATGTTTATAAAATTGGAACCACAAACAGACATGCAAAAAATGTAATAACAGAAGGAGCGACTGGAAAGCGCAGACGAGGAAGACCAAAAAAGAAGTGGTTAGAGGAGTTTAAAACCGATTTAAGAAAACTAAGAATACGGGATTTCGAGGAAAAGACAAAAAAAATTAGTAGGAAAAGTAGTAAGGAATTAGAAGCTATAGGCCTCCAGGTCTAAAGAGCCATATACATTTTGAAATAAGCTTATTGTTTACAGTTACTAGCATAACGCAAAAGTCCAAAAAAACTTATACTATAGTTAAAATTAACTAAAAAGAAAAAACATTAATATCTAAACTAATTATAAACTTATTTATTAAAGTATATTTGAAGATCATCATCATCATCAGTGGCGTTACAGCTCTTTATGAGCTAAAGCCTTCTTTAGAACAATCCTCCATTTGCCCCTGTCTTTGGCAACTCTTCTCCATGTTCTAATTCTGATAGACTTCAAATCATTTTCTAGGTTGTCTTGGTACCTAAGTCTCGGTTTTCCTCTTGTTCGTTGTCCGATCGGCCCTCTTCGGCCAAAAACTTTTCTGACTATGGCATCTTCCTCTCGTCTGATTACATGACCTATTCATCTGAGGCGTGCTACCTTAATAAATTTTACAACGTCATGTTCTCCAAATCTTCTAGACAACTCAAAATTGTAACACCTGCGCCACAAACCTTGTTGTTTTATGCCTCCATCTATTCGTCTTAGTATTTTTCGCTCAAAACGTTTAAGCAATTCTTGGTCATTCTGTGTTAGTGTCCAAGTTTCTGAACCACATGTTAGCACTGGTCTTATTAGTGTTTTGTAGTTTTGTAGGGTTATATTTGAAATAGCTTAATTTAAAGATTATTAAACATAGGAATTTCCACTCTTTTTAATTTTAGCTCATCCAAACACAGTGGCTTTCATTTCTCATGGCGGTTTATTGGGAACAACTGAAGCGGTATATTTTGGAGTTCCTATACTGGGAATACCAATTTTGTGGGATCAAGCTAAAAATATCGAAGAGGTAGTTGCAAAAGGTTGTGCTATACGATTAGATTTCGAAGATATTAACGAGCAGACTTTTGAAACATACCTTAAAGAACTTCTTAATGATACTAGGTACGTATTTATATAAATGCACTAGTTTTTTATAATTAAAATAACATATACATCTAGGAATTAGAGCAGACATGAGACAAAAGTATTGCACACAAAGGAATAATTATAAATAGAGCTATAAGATATAAAATATGGAGCCCTAAAATTATAAATAGCAAAAATAAATCATGTTCTGAAATAAATAAACAAATAAAGCCGGACTGGTATATATACCATCGGTGATTTTATATTTTAATGAGCGATCTGCGTACTTCTCTTGGTATTTTATTAAGTTTACTTCTATAAACTATATTTCCAGCGCTATCAGCTTTTTATTTCTATTTGCCATTTGTCAACATTCTGCGCCATATATCGTAAAGGTTTCTGTTATACTTGTTATACTAAAATATTTTTGTTGTCATCCTAATATTTTTGGATCCTAATAAAGAGTTTAGTTTTTGGAAAGCCATTAGACTTTTAATTACCTTGTTATTATCCTTTCTTTACTAACGTCTTCGACTTAATAAATTCCTAGAAATTTATATTTCCAGTATACCATCTTAAGTTTTTTTGAGATCCATCTTAAGATAATTTGATTTTTCCTCAAATAAGAGTTGTTGACGTGAAACAATAAAACACTGAAAAGTTTGTTTTCAAACTTCCACAAAATTTATTTTAAATTCTTATCACTACAGCTATTTTTGGCATGCGTTTACACTTTATAGTCTTTAATGAAATAGGTTGATGAGAGGAGAACTGTTTGTCTCAAGTTGGTCATTCAGAATTATATAGGTGTTTTTTAATTTGTTAATTTCCATAGATTCTAACAGCTTAAGGTCTTTATTTTGAATGTGAAGAATTTTAAATTCGTCATTGAAAGAATTATTTTGCGTATGAAGTGCGTATGTAGAATCTGTTTTTCTATTATTAAAAGCCCTTTTATGTTCTGGTATTCGTTTATTCAAATTTCTACCAGTTTGACAGATGTAAGTTTTTTGGGCAGTCGTCACATTTAAGTTTGTATACAATACACCACTCTGTAATTACTTTTTATATTAGCTCTTGTTGTTTTTAATATATTTGCATAAGTTATTATTTGTTCTGAAAGATGGTGTATTTCCTTTCTTTTTTATGTGTTTGGTTATTTTTGTTGATATTTTGAATGTATATGTAATCTAGCAGAAGGTACTGGGTATTTTCTCTCGTGGTGGAAATACTACTTCCAGAGCTTTCTTGTGTAGTTTTTGATATAAAACTGTATTAATTGTTTGTTCGTTGTATCCCTGGTTTAGTGCTATTTGCTTAATTATATTTAATTCTGTCTCATAGTTGTATTTTGACATCGGAATTTCTGTTAATCTATGTAACTACTATGATAGGCTGTCAGTTTATGTTGTGTGGGATGGGATGATGAATTGTATAACGTCGTGTTAGTATGGGCAGGTTTATGAAATATGGAGAAGTCATGTTTGTTTTTAAGTCTGATAGTTTTTAAATCTAAAAAATTTTTGGATTGATTTTGTTCTGTTTCTATTGTAAATTCAACATGACTATAAAGTGAATTAATAGACGATAAAAATTGGTCGATTTGCCTGTTAGTTCCTGTGAAACATACCAGTACTTCGTCTACGTATCTTCACTAATATAAAGACTCTTTGAATATGGGATGATTTAAAATCTTTGTCTCAAGATGATCCATAAAAATATCTGATAGTAATGGGCTTAGCGGATTGGCCATTATAAGTCCTGCACTGTTCTTTGTATATATTTGACTATTAAATTCAAAGTAGTCCCGTTTTATGCAAACTTCAAGAAGATATAACATTTCAGTTGTAATAACTGAATTTATAATATTTTAGTCTAAAAGGTTTTTTACTAGAATAAAAGTTTCTGTAGAAGGAATACAAGGAAAAAGATTTTTTACGTCAAATGAAATTAATCTGGAGTTGTTAGGTAATTGAAAATATTGTATTTTATTAACTAGTTCAATTGTATTTTTTATGGTAAATTTAGGTGAAAATTTAGTGTGTTCTAAAATAATCTCTAACAGTTTTTTTGAACGTTTGTATGACAGAGCTGTATAAAATGAATCTACAGGTCGTATTGGGTGATCCGCTTTGTGTAGTGTAATAAAAGAGTATAATTTAGGAGGTTGTGGTCTCATGATATTGAGGTATTTCTGTTCTGTTGGATTTACTATTGATTTTGAATTTTCTAACGCTAGCTTAAACTGTTTTTCGTGGTACAATGTACGTATATTATTTCGATAGGTAAACCAAAGCGTATGCTTTATGAATTTGATCTTTAACTGTGTTTAAATCTGTATTAATATATTTTTTTGTAGTTATAGGAGGAGAGCTAAAGAAAGGTCACAAATTCTTCATGATCAACCAGTAAACCAACGAGACCAAGCTGTATTTTGGGTAGAATATGTAATTAGACACAAGGGAGCGCATCATTTGAAATCAGCCGCGCTTAAGCTTAACTGGTACCAAAGGTACCTTCTGGATATTATTTTGTTTGTCACTGTCACATTTATATTTATTATATTTGCAATTTGCTACTGTATAAAATTATTGGTATCTATAAAAAATCAAACAAAGCTAAAGAGTAAAGTAAAATAAAGTTAATAGATAATATCGCTTGTGTTTTACGAACAACTTACCCCTTTAAGTTTTACTTCTCCAGGAATATAACAGTATGTGTTGACTAAACAAAGACTGTGATAAAAATCGGTAAAATTTACTCCGTTTATAGATTTAACTGTCAAATTTTTCGAGATATGTATATCTGGAAAGTCAGATAATTCTTCAGCATCTATCGATCCGTTGGAGCTACTTCTAGCAGTAGATAATCTGCGTAGATTGATGTTGTTAAGTTTGGCAGCTTTAAAATTGTCTTCCACTTTGATTTCCTCAAACTCTAAATTTCCTAAAACAAGACCAAATCGCATTATAGATTAAAAAAAATAGATTTTAAAAATAACTCAAGAATGAGCGAAATAAGAAACACAGTAAAAATGAGAAACTAAATAGATCTTCTTCTGAATCTATTTTTTTTAAATGTTAATATTATTTACTAAATAATTTAATTTTATTTGCCCCTTTAATATTGGCAATTCTTGACTGATTGAGAGTACCCATCAGAAAAATCATAGTATTTGATATGTTTTCTTTAACAAGTTAGGTGCCATCATACTGAAAATTTTAATGTCTTTATTGGCCAATCAGATTTTGGTTTTAAAAAAATTTATATTACTTTCTCTAATTTTCAAATCGATTCACTGGCAGTGATCACAGCCTTTTAAGAGGAAGGATTCATATTAAACAGACGAAAACCAGTAGAAACAGGACACATAATTATTGTAATTAGATAGATCAAACAAAAATACGACAGAAGAGAGATGGGTACAGAGAAGTATTAAGAAAAGAATTTGTAGAACATTATTAACAAGAATATTCCGTAATGAACACAATTAATAAAGAAATTCAACGAAATCTCTTGAAATCAGGACTGACTGTTGCAAAGAAAACGAAAAATAAAGAAGAACGAATAAGTGAAGGAACAAAACGGTTGATGAAAAAAAGATGCACATTTCTAAGTGAAGGAAAGCGAAACACCAATGGTTTCAAAGACTTGAATAAACAAATAAAGAAGGGAGTAAAGTATGGTTTAAGAATCTATAATGAAAACAGTACAGATAAATTTCGAGAAAACCAAAATGATGACCAATATGGTTCCCAGCGAAGAGATACAGATTAGTAACAACAAGGTCGAATTAATCGATAAATACACATACTTGGGTCATGAAATTAGAATAACCAGAGACAACCAAACCTGCGAGGTAAATAGACGAATCACGTTGGGATGGGCGGCATATGGAAGGATGAGAGACGTTTTTAAAACAAATATCCCAATTCACCTGAAAAGGAAGGCATTTAACCAATGCATCTTACCAGTCTTGACCTATGAAGCAAAGACCCTAACTTTAATAAAAGCTACTGCCGAAAAACTGAGGGTAACACAAAGGCGACTGGAGAGATCAATGCTGGGCCTGACCTTGAAAGATCGCGAGAGAAATGAGGAGCTTTATAGCGCCTCAGTATGAGAAGTATTATAGTGCGAATCAATAAACAAAATTGGAGGTGGGCTGGACATGTTGTAGTATGGAAAACGGAAGATGGACGAAGGAATTATTGGAGTGGAGACCAAGAACCGACAAGCGAAGTCGAGGCAGACCACCCACCCGATGGACCGACGACCTAAGGAGAATAGAAACAAACTGGATTGCAGCAGCTAAAGATAGAGAGAACTGGAGACCTTTGGAGGAGGCCTATATCCAACAATGGATGTGAAAATGGGGCTGGATGATGAATGAAAACACAGTAGAAATATTAATAGAAAAGGACCGAGGCCTGAAACGCTTTAGATCAAACTGAGGAAAGCCTCATTAAATGATAAAGATGAAAAAGAATAAAGAGAACAGAACGAAATTTTAAAAGTTACTCAAACATTTTACCGTGATTTATATTCCTCAAATAAGAACCCTAATAAGAACTCTAATATAGAAAGCCAATAATTATCACTAGAATTTATACATTGGCTTCGTTGATTATGAAAAGGCATTCGACTCCATAGAACTTTGGGCAAAGAAAGAGCTATAAACAACTGCAGGATAGACTCCCGATACAGAATGCTCATATATAATATTTACAAGAAAGCTACAATAAAAACACAAATAGATGCGAAAAGCAAAGCTATACCAATCAATAGAGGAGTTTGTCAGCGAGATAACATCTCACTAAAGATATTCACACTTGGACTTTAAGACGTGTTTAAAGACATTAACTGGGCAGATAAAGGAATAAATATTAATGGAAGAAAACTTAGTCATTTAAGATACGCTGATGACATTGTAATATTCTTTACATACTACAGTAATACTACAGACCATGATGACGCAACTATTTCAAGCTTTGGAAAAAGTAGGTCTTAAGATGAACTTGGAAAAAACAAAAATAATGACAAATACACCGAACATTAGAGAATAACGTTGAACGACATAAATTTAGAAAGAGTAAGCGAATACATCTACCTGGGACAGATAATGAAAGTTAACAAAGAAAATCAAACTGCCGAAATTACCAGAAGAATAAGGTTTGCATGGGCAGGATTTGGAAAACTGAGTTGGATCTTAAAAAGCACTGAAATAGAACAATATTTGAAAACTACAATTTACGATCAGGGTATCCTCCCTATACTCACATATCATTCACAGACGTGGACACTCACCAAGTCGAACATGGATAAAATACTAAAAGCACAAAGAGCGATGGAAAGATGAATGCTCGGGTTGAGACTTATAGACAAAAAAAACAAACAAATGGATTAGAAGCAAAACGAAAGCAAAAGACGCAGGAGAACATGCTGCCAAATTAAAATGGAGCTTCAGAGGACACAATGCCCGACTGAAGGATAAGAGATGGAACCCCGAAATACAACAATGGAGACCATGGTTAGGAAAGAGAAGAAGAGGAAGACTACAAATGATATGGGCGGATGATATTAAGAAGATTGGAGGACACCACTGGAAGCAAGTGGCGCAAAATAGAAGACACTGGATTGATTTAAGGGAGGCCTATGTCCAAAATTGGATTACTTAAGACTGAAGGAGAAGAAGAACTTTCAAATCAAAATGTAACGCTCTAAAATGCGAATTTTGGTTAAAATTTTATGTTTCAAAATGTGAGTTCAAGTTGGAGTTTCGCAGCCACCAACAAGATTTTTATCACCAAATGCTCATGAGAGTTCAATGTGGCATGACGCCTTGACTTGTCTATTCATGTTAATAACGTGTTGGAAAATCTAGCAAGCTGCTATAGAATCTGCCATTGCTCAACATTCTGAAGTCTCCGAACAGGAAATTTTAGAAGAACCAATAGTATCCAATGCAATCAATGAAGCTATTGTCTAGGGACAGGTTAACAGCGAAAATTTACATTTGAGGACTATAATTCTGCAGGTTTTCATACATACTTATACAAGTATAAGAAAACTTCTACAACAAATTACCCTTTCAATTTTACGAATATTTTGTAGACGATGGTCTTTTATCCATGACGGTACATATCTAATTTATGTTAATTGATTTATTTTTTAATTTTTAGGTCGAAGAAACAAATCGTTACACCCTGCCGTGTCAGGAAAGAAATCAGAAAAAAAGGCACATATTCCTGGGTATAGTTATATGGATGGGATTATGTCATTTTTCATTTTTTTATTCGTACTGGTTAAAGAATGATCTTTATGTGAATAATATCAAAAAAGTAATAAGAAATCGCTTCCAGTTATTGTAGAAAACGCTTTATTTCAATGCCAAATCAGTAACAACAGATGACCATTTGTAGAAGATTGCTTGGTTAGCAGATTAAAGGATAAATTCAAGGCTGCCATCGTTTCAAAAGAAAACGTGTGCAGTGACGAAAATTTAGTGCCTTTTCAAGGGGACTAAAATTGAAGCAAGCAGTATATTGCCAGCAAAAGCACAAAACTGGGATAAAATTATTCAAGCTTTGTCTGGAAGGTGGTTATACCTACGATTTTAACGTATATTGTAAAAAAGAACATGCTAAAGGTATCACCGTACAGGTATACAGGTATACAGGTGTGCAGATGGACTTAACACTTGCGGTTAATAACTACTACAGTTCTGTCACACTTGCACATGCACTCGTACACCGAAAACTTATATAATTGGTACGCTACGTAAAAACCACAAATATAATCTCAAAAACGTCATTTCCAACAAATTAAGAGTAGGCAAATATGCAGAATAAAATAATTCGGTCATCGTTGTTCAGAAGTAGAGGTACAAGCGAGATATGCTGATGATTAACTCGGTGACAATGCAGCAGTGATGTTGTAAAGCCAAAGAATGTCATCGAATATAATAAATATAAAAGCTGCATTAATGACAAAAAATCTGGACTGAAATAATGAAATCGACTGCTCTGACATCTGCTCGGAGGATAATATCACTGCTTCATCGAGCAGTGATATTATTCTTTTAAATTAGTATATAAATATAAGCGGAAATATTCCTGTTTATTTCTTGCGCAATATCTAGGCGGAACGAAGATAAAAAAAGCAATTTGTGTTATTATAAACAGATTATAAATTGTTTATATTATCAATTTTAAAGACGCAAAAAGGGTAACAATTTTTTTCGGTGTTTTGTTATACACGGTGTAAAACAAAAATGCTACAAGTCTGATGGTGAATTACTGCTGTACGTTAATCCATGATGCTACAGACAATTAGTATCACTGTAAAACATCCGCCACAATATTTTACTATTGCATTACTATGTAGAATTCGTCATAGCAAATAAAGTGTGGATGATAGAAAATATTACTTTCCACTTTCTAATGATATTACACATAAAGAATGGCAAGAGTTCTATCCATATTACAAAAAAAATGATTTGTGGTGATCAGTGTTATTATGTGTAGTATGTGATAATGTATAAAATAGAAGGCCAATATTACCAATGAAGATACAGGAATAAATTAAATAAATAATTCAGATATTAGAAGTAATAAAAGTAAAGATTACCTTCGTGTTTTTTAGTTAGTATTACAGCTTCACGTTCAATATCAATATCATTCAAATTCCCACTACTCAAATAGACGTTTCTCAAAACAACTGGTTTTTCAAAAGTGATGTTACCATCCACAACAAACGGATTATCGGTAAAAGCAATGATACTTGCATTAATGCCATTGACAGTGTTAGCATTCAGATTTTTCAATGTTACCAATTCAGTAAAAGTTTTGTTTCTTAAAACATCGGTTATGTTGTCTCTTCTGAAACGAAAAATAAAACAATTAAATATTTTATTTACTAAAAGAAGTAAAATTAATTAGTTTATTTATTTGTTGGTACCTAAAAATAATGTCAAAATTAGTCAAACACAATTTGATACAGTTCATATTTACTGGAACAACGTTATAATCTGCGCATTGAAACCGTTACAAGAGAGTACAGGAGACAAATTTATAAGGGGAGGAAGAGCGTGGACGCGAGGAAGATGTGGAGAAAATGTAAAAACATAATAACTGAGAAGGCATTGGAAATATTGGGGAAAATCAAACCAGTTAATAAAACAAATGGTTTGACAAGGAGTGCCAAGTAGCAGTAGATAAAAAAATAGGGAATACCTAAAAAATACTAGACTTAGGGATATTAAAAATCAGAAATTGTAATAAACAGGGCACAGAAACTGAACAAATTGGCGATTAATCTTAGTGCAGTCCAGGGTCCACAAAGGACTGTCGAGCCAAAGGTGATGATGACGTAGTAGGTTACTATCAACATATGGTAACTACTGATAATAAAAACATACAACATAAAATATACAACAAAATGTTTGATGAAATAAGAAAATGAAAAACTTACCTCACAATATCGATTAAAAGTTCTGTAGCATTTTTTTGATTAATGTTCTCTACTTCCATTTTATCTGCATCAATACTTTTGAATTTAACGTTTCCATTTATGATAATCTTGTCGAATTTGGTGTTTTTGTCATTTTTAGTAATGTTATTTACTCTATCTGATAACTTTTTTATTTCTGCCTCTATGTTTTCAAGTTCTTCTAAATATATTGAAACATTTGCCGGATCCTCGACTGCGCCAACTATAGGATTAACAGTTTTAGTATTCTGCATCTTTTGTTTGGTTTTCGCTTTTAAACGATCTTCAAGTTCTTCGATTTGTAGCTAAAATATATTGTATTTTTATTAACAATGGACAAAGTGGTAACAGGCTTAATTAAAGTTATGTTAGGGACTAAATGTTTATAAAAGCTTAAAACTTTGTGAGTTTAGTTTCTAGACTAAAATCAAATTTGGGACCTTCATATTTGGAAAAGAAAACTTTTAAATGTGCTTAATAATCATACAATATTTCATTAAAATTCATTTAGTAGTTTTTGCAAAATAATTTTGCAATATAATTTTTTTTAATGAATAATTTTCCAAATTATGCAGGTCAAAAACTATAACATTTAGATACTTTAATTTTTTTTACATATGGAGGAGCATTTAAGATTTCAAACCCATTTAAAGAAATTAAATTCTAAGAAATCAAAGAAAAGAAAACTAAAATGATCAATTCATTAGTACCAGAGTTATAATTAGTCAAAGCTGACTGCGATTTACAATAAAAGTATAAGGATATTAGAAGTCCTAAGATTTCCCATTTGGCGAAACTAAATTCAAATTTTTACCACTGCACCTTCTAAAGATTTTAAAGAAGGCAGATTAATAAAGTAGTCGACAAGAGAATCCAGTTTGTAACTTTATCACGGCAAAGTGCTAAAAGTATAAGGTACTAAGATCTGTTTTTTTAATATTATAATAAAATCCTTAAAAATACAAAGCACTAATTGGGTACAAATTCACATTAACTACAGACCAGTACACATTTAGCCCAGCTTAGGTATGCAAAAATCATCGATTTCATCTGAATTTTATCTGAATATATCTCAAGCTTTTAAGACGTAGGTAGAAGTTACTAGAAGACGATATGAAAAAGTACTCGTATTTTTACCTTGCGTTTTTTTAAACAATAATTTATGGTCACAATTTAATTTTTTGACCATAAGTTTTCCCTTATATTTTACACAAATAATATTTATATAATTTTTTCCCGTTTTTTTTTTAATTAAAATTGATAAATAATTTACATACTTGCAAAAAATCAGTTTTTTGCACTAATTTATAAATTTTAATAATTTTTTTATTAACAAAATAAAATGTTATTTATAATTCCGTCTTTTAAATTTGTGTGAATTTTCCCCCGATCGGTCAAATAAGTAGTTAAGTTATTATCTAATTTATTAATTCCTGAGGCTAAATATTTATTATTATTATTATTGAGTTAATGCCTCGACAACTATGATCATTGGCATGGTACAGTCAGGTACCTAGTGTAGTGTGTGTGTGTGTAAAGTAATTGTCTTGATATTTAGCAAAGTCGACGTCATTGTCTTTGCTAAGAGACGCTAATTGTATCCGAACGTCTGCGGTCCCTCTGGTGAGTACCGATCGCACAAGGATAGAAATTATTTTCATTTATTAATTTTTAATAAACGAAAATTTCCACCCAGGTGGGATTCGAACCCACGACCTTTGGGTTCAAAGGTAGACTCTCTTACCACTGAGCCACAGAGGGGGTTATGGCTAAATATTTAAACGAATAAACTTATTGCGTTTTCATCGAAATTATTTACAAAATAAACGTTTGAAAAAGGGGTATGTGTTTTACTTATAAACAATTGTAATAACTTCTATATTTTTCAAGCTACAGACTTGTACGAACAACCATTGGATAGCTGGTATAAAAACTCACATTAAAAAAAAACCTATGACCGATAGGAAAGTATTTAGGGACTACTTTTTAAAACATCACATCTCCATTGTTTATAAACATAAAGAAGTAAAATTTGCACAAATTTCGAATGAAATTCAAATCTTTATATTGAAACTTAGAGCTATAAAATTTATCCAATTTTTCGAAACTTACAGGCCTTCGAAACGAAGGTACTTTCAAAAGATCGACATAGGAAACTGGAGTGAACTGTTTCAGCTCCGTTTTTTTTTTTGAGATCGGAACTTCAAATTAAAACACGTAGAAAAAATTTAGATTATCTCGGCTTCCATTGCAGCTAGAAGCCTCTTTTTTTAATCTGAGGTAGCTCGTCGAAATACAGAGTTTTCACTGACCGGGAAATATGGGACACCTCGAAAAAATTGAGTTCATTTGAAATTAACCGTAGAAACTTACTTTTTTTTTTCTTAAATTGGCTGGACAAGTCTATCGCAGTGGTAATAATGATGACATAATTTTCACCCCTCCGGAAATTTTGGAAAATCCCGGATAATCAACATATATATATATATAATATATATATATATATATATATATATATATATATATATATATATATATATTGTTTTATTTTATATCAATTAAGTAGGTTCATCGGCACCCCATTGAAGATGACTAAGGGTTTTAAGAACGTTCAGCCTTTTAAAACAATTGATTTTAAATTCATTCATTCACAGATTTGATTTCCATTTTAATCCAATTTAATCTGGAGTCAAATATCAAACCGAGAATTTTACATTAATTAACAAAGAAAGTGGAGAATCGTTGAATAATATTTGGGGAAAGGAAGTGGAGGTTCTTCTGGAAAATTTTATTAATTTGGTTTTGCTCTGAGAGAGCGATAATTCTAGTTCGTTAGATATATCTTTAAGTATATTTACTGCACTTTGTAGTAGTCTACATGTGGTGGGGACATATTTACTATGGCAGTAAATTATTAGGGTATCAGCGTATTGAACATATTTGATGGGAGCAGGAAAGGACCTGCAAATTTCGTTGATTGTTTGAATGAATAGATTTGAACTTAATACACATCCTTGAGAGACACCTTGATTTTGAGAACGAGATTGAGATAGTTTACCATTCGCAAAGATTTTAAAGGTTCTTCCAGACAGAAAGTTTTTTTTACAAATGAGAGAATATTACCATCTAAGTTATCGTAGGAGAGTTTATCAATTATTGCTTTTCTTGAGATTGAATCAAATGATCCTTCAATGTCAAATATAGTTGCTACGACATCTTTTTGATTGTTGATTGCTTGAGAAATGTGTGTTTGAAGAAGAGTAGACCGATGACGACCAATTTTTGATAACTATGGTCTACGACGGGAAAAGATTTTGTTTCGATACGGAGTATCTATATACTATACCGTACTGAGGAGACCTAAAGAGGTCGAAATACGTATATGCGGCTTGTCGCTGCTCTGTATCGAATCAAAATCTAATACCGTCATTATGTTTTATTTCTTTACTTCGTTTGGAATACCAGAAATTAAATTCTCTAAGAATTTTGACCATAATGAACGGCATTTGGAATGCAATCTTAGATTCCCTTGCCGATTTATTCACCAAGCTGTTTGCTTTGCAAGTTTTAGAAAGCACGGTGGTTGAGATTTGAATTCGATTTCGCCAGTTTTTTCTTCGATGGCGTAGTTACGTCTGTACATAGTTATTTTTGATAACTATGGTCTACGACGAAAAAAGATTTTGTTTCGATACGGAGTAGTGGCTATACCGTACTGAGGAGACCTAAAGAGGTCGAAATACGTATATGTGGCTTGTCGCTGCTTTGCATTGAATCAAAATCTAATAACGTCATTATGTTTTTTTTTCAAAGAAGTTTGCAGGTGGTTCAAGTGACAGAAAACGGACAAAAAGATTTAAGAACTAAATGAAATGATTATAAAATTGGTCCAAATATCTGGGAATTTATGTGTGTTCCAGATAAGGTTATAAATTTCGAGAAGTTTGTAGAGAGATGTATTGAAATTTTTTTTTAATATATAAGTGATATCTTGGGGACCAGCAGCAGATTTTCTATACAAAGACAAGGCAAATTTCAGTTTATGTAGGGTAAACGAGGCGTTCATAAACGTGACATAGTGTTGAGTTGACGAGTAGGTGGTAAAAGATTAAGTGTATAAAGAACTGGTAGAGGAAGTCATGTTACTTTTAATGAATTTGTTGTCAAAATAATACGTTTAGGTTTAAAATTTAAAACAATATAATATTTTGTTTCTCTAGAAGTAGTTCTGAGTCCTTGTCTTTGTATATCGTCAGTCTTGGTCTAAATGACGATCTTTCTTTTTTCATTTTGTAGAAATGTTTAATTTCGTATCTATTGTTACTAAGTAAAATCTATAGGTACATGGGACAAGTTATTGAATATATTCAAAATTCTCTGCTACATTAAAAGGCAGTTTTACCATGATTTTAATTGAAAACATATTATAATATGACGTTTCGCATTACACTTCGGACATCGTTCCCAAAATATAAATTAAACAAATTATTTTGGTGTGTTTTTTATTATTTAGAATTTCCGCATCAACCATTAAAGGTTATTAGCGGGTTTTACAGATTTTACAGTTGTTATTACAAATACAAATTTACTAATTACAAATTGCGTATTAAATTACACATAATAAGTTACAAATTACAAAGAGATACATATAATATAACTTAAATTTTGTGTAGTAAACGTATGTCCTTAAGGAATTTGATTGTATTAGATACATTACTGTTTAAAATATCTTTAAGTTTCTTTGCTTCTTCTGGTACGTTGTTGATGGCTCTTTCGTAGGAATAAAGAGGACATTCAATCAATACATGTTGAACAGTTATTGGACATTCACAATAGGAACATTCAGGTGGTAGTTCTTTTGTTATGAGATGCTGGTGAGTTAACGCTGTGTGTCCAATTCTTAGTCGGTTTATAATCACTTGTTGCCTTCTGTTTTCTGGAAATTGTAGTTTAGTGCCAATCCTAGTTTTCACGTTTTTAAGGTTAGCCTTAGTAGAATTCCACATTTGTTGCCAATTTTTTACACAGTGCTGTTTAATATTGAGCTGGATATCACTGAATGGAATTGTAGTCATAATTTCAGTTTGCTCGTCAGTAGCAGCTTTCTTTGCTAATTCATCTACTTTTTCATTTCCTGCGATACCTGTATGTGATGGTACCCAGAGAAATGTAACGTTCACGTGTCTGTTTTGTAGGTGATAAAGTGCTAATTGTATTTGTTGCAGGATAGCATGTACTGGATATATTTGCCTTAAGCTCTGAAGAACAGATAAAGAGTCAGTAATGATAAGAAAATCTGAGCTTGCATGACTCTTACACATGTCTAAAGCCTTTAAAATGGCGATTGCTTCTCCCGTGAAAATGCTGCAGAATTGAGGGATGCGAACTGCATATTCAGATTTTCCTAGAATAAAGGCCGCTGCGTGTCCGTTTTCAGTTCTTGACGCATCGGTAAAAATCTTGTTATGGCCAGTGTATTCTAATATCCGTTCTTGATATAATTTGTTAATGATTATGGGATTTGTGGTACTCTTTGGATAGGCCGTGAGGGATAGATCAATAGTGGGAAAATTAATAGTCCAGGGAGGTATAGTTCGTTGTGTAGGGTAAGAATGTGTGAGCTGCTCCATGTCAAAACCGTATCTCGTTAGACGTTCTTTAAGGGGTGGATATTTAATTTGTTGATGGCAATGAGTAGGTGGATATATTTTATAAAGAAGTGGATAGTTTGTGTTATTATGGTTGGAAGACAATCTCGCGGCATAATTTAAAGAAATGTGTTGTCTTCGTATTGATAGGGGAGATTCATTTAGGATAACCTGAAAACTTGAAACAGGACTAGTTCGGTAAGCACCCAGAATTAGTCTTAAACATGTGTTTTGTATAATGTCTAGTTTTTTAAGTATATAATTACTCGCAGTTGAATAGCATATTGCACCATAATCCAGTTTACTTCGGATCAATGATTGGTATATATGCAGCAATTTTATGGTGTCCGCTCCCCAAGATCGGTTTGATAGCATTTTAAGGAGATTTATTTTAGATTGGCAGGATACGATTAGCTTTTTAATATGTTCTGCCCATGTTAACTGACTGTCCAGTCTTAGGCCAAGAAAGTCAATGCTCTCTACTTGTTCTAGGTTGATACCATTTAGAGTAAGTGTTGTTTTGCAATCAGTTTTTCTTTTATTGAATACGATGAAACGAGATTTATCACCTGAGAACGTAAAACCAGTCTTTTGGGACCAGTCTTCTAGTTTATGCAGAAATGATTGCAAAATGTTTGAGGCTAGTGTAATATTGCAGCTACTAGTATATACAACTAAGTCATCTGCATACAGACCTGCTTTCAAAGGTAGCTTTATCTCTTGAGCGATATTATTAATTGCTATTAAGAATAAAGTGGGGCTTAAGGTTGAGCCCTGTGGAATACCGTTTTCAAGACATTCTGTTTTTGAGGTAATTCCATTTACACGTACTTGAAATATCCTATTATTCATGAAATGTTTTACAAAGGTAAGAAAATTTTGGTGTGTTACTTGATAACATAAAATGTTTTTTAATTAACTTTGATATACCACATTTATGATGACAATTCACTCATCATAAAATAGAGGACTTTAAAATGATATTGTCAGTATTTTTTAAGTGTAATCCTTAAGTGAACTTCATTCAAGGATAGTTTTTAAAGTCTTTTTCTTTCAAATGTATAAATGCCTTAAATTATTAGGAGATTTTTTTGACATATCAAGTTACAAAACTAAATAATTCATTTAATTCGTATTTTGGTAAAGATTTCCCAAGTGGAAATCTAACTGTAAGAATAAATGTAATTTCACTTAAAATAAAATTATGATTAATTCCCATTAAAATTTTGTTATAAAGAATATTTAGTGACGCTATGCAGCGTTCTTAAAGGCTACCTTCTATTTAGAAATTAAGTAATGGGACTAACCTCAAGTTTTTTCTTAATTTCCTGTAGCTCGTCCAACTCCTTTCTTCTGGGATCTTCAATCTCTTTTATCCTACTATTTAAAGAAAACAAGAGCAGTTCTTTATCTGATTTTGGTACTATCAAAGCAATTTTGTTTTCGATTGATATATATCCAAATCCAGAAAGTCGTTGTTCATTAGGGAAGCAAGTCAACCTTGAAGTTTTTTCTCCAAATAGGAAACAGGGAATGTCTTCGTGCTCCTCAAATTTATCTACAAAAATTATATAATTATAAATGTTTTGAGGCTTTTGAGATGTGGATTTTTTTAAGAATTTTAAAAATGCCATACCCCGATCATATTACGAAAGAAATGGTTTTGCACAGAATGGAAAGAGACAGAGACCTTTTGACCACAACTAAAAGGAGAAAGACATATTTGAAGCACATACTTAGAAATGAGAAATATGAGTTGTTGCAGCTGATTATGAAGGGCAGAATGGAATAAAGCGCTCAAGCTTGTCATGAGTTTGCTCTAATGAAGCAAACCTAAATCGTCTATTTTATTATATAATGTGTTTATATTTTCATGTACAGCAAATCTGAAATTTTCGACTCCTTGCTCAACATTTTAAGTTGATGGTACATTTGAAAATGCATCAAAATATTTGTTGCAAATGTTTACATTATATCGTATTCAAAATTCCTCTGGTTTCTCTTTGTTACCAAACAAATGTAAAAGTAGGTATTAAATAATATTTTATTTCTAAATATTTAACATTATTAATTCTAAATGATTGTTATTAGTTGGCAGCCTTTTCTACTTGTTATTATCGCGAATTCGTATGATTATTCAAAAGTTAGGACTTATGTTAGAATATAGAAACCCACAATCTAAGAAAGTACGAAGAAAAACAAGCAAAAAGAGATCCTAATAATTTCGATTGGACAGAAGATAATATTACAACTACTTCTCTTTCTTATCCAGATCAATTTTCCAGTGGAGAGGTAGCTACGCCTTTAGGGTACTTTACTAAGTTGTTTTCACTTGACGTGATTGAAAATATCGTATACCAGTCTAATTTGTATAGAAAACAGGTTAGAGAAAAATCTATCAACACTTCTTACAAATTTCTTATCCATTTTATTATAGATAGAAGTATAAGGTTATTCCACGAATATACGACTGTTTGGGATTATTGCGACAACAAATATTTTACTGTGCAAGTAGAAGTATGAAAGTAAATTGGTCTAATTATTATTCCAATAAAAAGCATCTACTGTTTCTGAACTAAAATCATTTCAGATAATAGATGTACAAATAGACGCAAAATTTATTGTGAAATTTAATCCGAAAATAACAAAAATTTTTACGCAAACGCTCATTTTTACGAAAATGTGTTTATCAGACATTTGGGTTGGATTTCGGTGAAATATAAACAAAGTACATTTGAAATGTAAACATTTGTAAATAAATGCAAAGAGGCGTGCCGGGTTTCTTTGATATTATATTTTATTACTTTATTAGGTACTAGAACTGTAATAAAAATAAATATACTATTTTTATTATAAATGAAAAGAAATTGGCCGAACGATGGTTCAGAAACCAGAAATAGAATCTATATGATAGTTTGAGTGGATGTACTCTTAAGTTCTAAAGTTTATAACGGGTATAATATACCGGCTATTGATAGTTAAAGTACTGAGTCGTTAAAAATATTAAAAAGTAACGAAAATTTACATACAGTTTCATATATCGCCGACTGATTTTAGTTTTAAAAACCGTCCGTATAGAGGTTTCCGGTGAAGAGAGGTGTCCGTTAAGAAAGAGTTTAGTGTAGTGTATTTGTTTATTGAAGCCAAAAATGCCGAGACGTGTTTTAGATGTAGACAAGTTTATATTTAATGTACTTTCTTATTTTACTGCTGAGAAAACCAACGGGGGTCCTTTGCGACCTGTTCAGTCCGTACATAAACGTGTGTGTGATGCACTCTGTATTAGTGAAACAAAACTAAAGTCGGCTTTGCAAAAAGAAAAAAAGTGGACAAAGTGAACAAAATGTCGCACAATATAAATCTCGCCCATAACCAAAGACTATAGATCTTCCCGAAGGTTGCAAATTTGAAATCCGTGAGACAATATATAAAATGCGCGAAAAGAAAGAACATGTTTCTTTAGATTCAGTGCTACAACAATTAAAAGACAGAAATACATATATTTGAAATTTCCAGAACAAGTCTCTGGAGAGTTTTAAAACAGATTGGCTTTAAGTTCAAAAAGGAAGACAATAGAAAGGTTTTGTGTAAAAGAGCTAGTGTCGTTCACAAAAGAAGAGAATTTTTAAGAAATTACAACAAATTAAAAAAATAATGTTCTTCCTTCGTTTATTTAGACGAAACATGGATCTTTGCTAAAGGCGGTATTTATTTATTTATTTATTTATTTATTAAAACATACAAACACCACCTAGGTAGTAATTACATGTAAGAGTGCTCATTACTTGGTATAACAATATACACACAAGTACAAAATAAAAACACACAAAATAAAACACATTAATAAAAAGACACAAGTTAATAAAATATTAAAAATTGAGTCCATTACTTATCATACTTATTTATAACATTTTTTAATATCCCTTACACTAAAGGTAAAGAGGTCTATATCACAGATCTTTATTAACTCATTGCACTGATATTGCATATAGTTTATTATTGCACCTGAATTATAAGGACTACAAGAAAATAGGTCATTACTGTTTACCCTTAGGTTGACCTTTGGCACATGAAACCTAATAAAGTTTATTAAACCACATGTCTTATATTTAACATTGTTAATGATATTATGAATAAACACAACGCAATACATGTATCAAACGAATTTGGCAGGATGAGAGTATAAAATCCATAAAACACATCGATAACGAGAGAAAGAGATATATTATAGTACATGCAGGTGGAAAATATGGTTTTATTGAGGGAGCAGATCTTGTGTTTTCATCAAAATCAAAATCAGCCGATTATCATGACATACGAATACGGACATGTTTGTTAAATGGTTGAAAGAAAAACTGTTGCCAAGTTTACATGAACCATCCGTTATAGTACTGGATAATGCTGCGTATCATTCGGAAATTTTAAATAAGCAACCAACAAACACCTGGACTGTAGATAAAATAAAAGAATGGTTAACGAATAAAACTATTACATTTCCTCAATACTGTTTTAAGCCTCAATTACTAACGTTAGCTAAAAGTCATGCACAACCAAACGTCATCGTTTGGACATCGTGTGTTAAGACTACCGCCCTATCATTGCCAATTCAATCCAATAGAATATATTTGGGGGATCTGCAAAACATATTATGATAACCATATTGGATACAAGGGTTTCAGTGACGAGACAGTCTTGGAAACATGGCAACAAGCATTGGATATTGCCACTCCTGAAATTTGGGGAAAAAGTGTAAAAAATGTGAAAACTTAATTAAAGAATGGTGGATCCGTGAAGGTCATCGAAGCAGTTAATCCTATTATAATTTACCATCCAAATGAGGATAGCGACGATAGTGATTATGACTGTGAATCTGATGGTTGATAATAGTTTTAGGAGATTAGGTGAATAAGAGAATAAGTAAGTTTTTTTGTTTTTTTAATACTAATTGAATATTCGACTAAATAAAGTACACTATTTAATCACTTAAGTATTGTTACACTTCCTTTAAATCACTTAATTAAAACACCAACTTGTTTAAAATACCAAACTCAATGATAGTAATTATATAATTTAAATTCTGATTTACAACTATTATATAAACTATCAACTCTATATTTATATCATGACTTCATATTTAAATCTAAGGTTTATATCTGTCGTAACAGTATTTTAAAAATGGGGAGAATTTCCTATTGTACAATGCAGCACATTGGACCATTTAAGTCGACACCTTAAAGCGAATTTAAAACAGTCGTATATTCGTGGAATGGAGTATAATACATTTACCGGCAGTACAACACAGACTATTGGGTGAGATTCTCTAGAATATTCCAAATTGTGGATATTATGCCACAAAAACAATTTCAACTTTTCAGAAAATTTATACGCTGCAATGACAACAGCCAAGTTACAGACAAAACCAAATATCAGGATTTCAATCAGATCAGATTTAATTGCCAGAAACATCAATTTGAAAATTAGTATTCCACAGACGAAACTATGATTGCATCTAAAGGTACTCGTTTAGGGAATTTCAGGCAATATATTTAAAATAAGCCTTATAAGTGGGGATACAAAATGTTTGTTCGAGCGGACGTGTCTGGCTACATTGCCGATTTTATTGCATACCAAGGAGCATTCACATTTACTGAGCTGTACAAAACTCTAAACGCGCTTACTGAAGAAGTAACTTTTTTTGGTGTAGGTGCTAGCGTTCTTATAAGTTTGAGCAAGACCAGCTGATCCCTTCTTCTTTTTAGGGTACCTGTCCATTTAAAACGTTGGCGATCATTTTGGCTTTGATGACTTTATTGGTTGCTATACGAAATAGTTGTGTTTAGATCTTTCTATAACATGCTTTCAGGTTAGCAAACCAGGATATTCTTCTTTGTCCTGAGGACTCTTTTCCTTTAATTATACCTTGCAAAATGCATTAAAGTAGCTCGTATCTGCCTTGATTTCTCATTATATGTCCCAAGTACTGCAGTTTACGGCCCTTCACGATGTTGACCAAGTCCGCAGTTGTGTTCATCCTCCACTACTTGTTCATTGGTAACTTTGTCTGTCCATGGTTTCTTCAGGATCCTTCTGTATAGCCACAGCTCAAAAGCCTAAAGTTTTGATAGAGGTTCCGCCTTCAATGTCCACGTTTCTACTCCGTACAGAAGCACTGAGTACACATAACATTTAAAGAGCCTTATTTTTGTTTCTAGGGTGAGGTCATGGCTCTTGAACACAGAGCTCAGTTCCCTCTGATCCATCATCCCTCTGATCCCTGAATATCTGATCCCTTAAATTTAGTAATTTTTGCGACAATTTGTTTTCCGGTCTGGGGCTTTTTATTATCTGTAAAGATTCTGTCTTCTGATTCTGGATTCGCTTAAAAGTCTGTCTGAAAGAGCAGGATTAAAGATAAACTTTGAGAAAACTAAAATTATAACAAATCTCGTAATGAGTGGAAATATAACTATTGACAATAATACCATACAACAAACAGACACTTACAAATATCTGGGACACGAAATCAAAATAAGCGGAGACAATCAAACACATGAAATACAGAGGCGAATAGGTCTGGGCAACATGGGCAGCATTTGGCAAATGAAGCCATATTCTAAAAAGTTCAATTCCCATGTGTCTCAAGCGAAAGGTTTATAACCAATGTGTTTTACCTGTACAAACTTATGGAGCAGAGACTTTAACACTCACGCAAAAATCTGCGAATAAACTTAGAGTTACACAACGAGCCATGAAACGTGCAATGCTGAACGTGAGCCTTCGAGACCACATAACAAACCAACAAATCAGGCGAAGATCAGGAGTTCAAGACGTCATCGAAAGAACCACGACGCTTAAGTGGAACTGGGCAGGGCACTTAGTCAGAACATAAGATGGACGGAGGACAAGACGTATTATGGAATGGAGGCCCAGAAATTATAAAAGAAGCCGAGGACGACCACCGACTAGATGGACCGATGACATTAAACGTGTAGCGGGAAACTGGATACAAGCGGCCCAGTGTAGAGAACACTGGAAAGAACTGAGGGAGGCCTATGTCCAGCAGTGGACGCGATTGGCTGATTGATGAAAGATTCTGTAAAACTTGTAAAAAAGTAAATGTATCTTGTTCCTCTCTAATTACATAATAAAAAAAGCACATGGAGGGGTTGGTAAGGCAAACTCTTTACTTGGATTGTATAGATGTCAGGGAGTAGAGCCAAGAGATGGTATTTTTTCATTATGACTTGGATATTGGACATATTTATTTATTTATTTATTGACATATGTGTCATAAATGCATGGATTCTCTATAACAATGATTGTACTGCTCTGAAAGAAAAACTTTAAAAGCATTTAGACTACAGCCAGCAAGTACAGGAAACGAAAGTAAACATTTCTACCTTATCCCATACTTTATCTATAAAAGACTGTACTTCAAACCGTACCCTCAGTTAAACGCACCTGAGGTTAAATTGGCGCAATCGTCTCATACCGAATGTTATCATACGATGCTTATAACTCCTATCAGTTCTAAAATTTCTATCCAAGGGTAGCCAAATTTGAGCTCCGAGTGATGACTTAGAGAAGGTTTTAAATATAATAAATTGTAATGTAATTGATGTCACGGCCACAATATATTTCCAAGGTCACTTTTATACTTTGATCTTTTTTAAATAACTCATGCAGAAGGAAAAGAAAATGTAACAAAATATAAAAATACTTACTGATGTTGTATGTGAAGATATCCACTTCGAAAGCATCGTGTGTTCCATGATCTACATTTCGCTCAGCTACTAGTAATACATCATCCCTATAAGTATCTATAGGTATTGCTAGCCAATACGTTATACCGTCCAAATTACTATTTTCGACACGTAGTCTCGTTAAGCCGCTTTTACAAAATTCAAAAATTCCAGCGCTGTAACCGTTTATTGCAAGAAAAGTCTTAAAACCAATGTCAAAGGAAACCATTGATGAGACGTTTGAGCTTTGAAGTAGCGTATAGTTACGAAATAGGTTGTTTTCATATTTGTATATAATGATTTGATTTTGTGGTTGTTGAAGTATGGACAGGTAATAATTTCCTCGATAATTATTAAAAACTGAGTAACTTGCCGAGCTTAATCTTAAATTTTGAAGTACCCTGTAAAAATAATAATAATTATTTCGTCATTTTATTTGAAGCTACCATCATCAAATAGCATCAATCAAACCGCAGAAAAAAAATTAAAAATTAACATAAAATCGTTAAATATATATTAAAACACCGCACAATCCCATTACTCTACCATGCATAGTAAACTAAATTATTAAGAAGTAAACTTCTAAGAGATAAAATAACACTATGATACACTATGTGCTGGAATGCACGGTTTCTCAGTCTCAGATTAAATGAACTTGCAGAACTTGAACAGATCAATTGAAAGTGCCATCTTCGTTCCGAAGGTTAGCGATCATCAGGGCTATACGTATTTTCGAAACTGCTGACCGAAACAATTCGTTATTGCTACAGCTATACCATTCCCGTAGATTCTCGTAGATAGCCAGGAGTTTCGTCTTTTTCCTATGGACCTTTTTCCTGCTATTTTCCCTTGCATAATTATTCGAAGCAGCTCATATCTTTCGCCTCTTGTAATGTGTCCCAAGTATTGCAGTTTTCGTTTTTTGATCGTAAATATCACTTCCTTTTCTTTATTCATTCTTCTCAAGACCTCGACATTTGTGACTCTCTCGGTCCAATATATTCTTAGGATTCTGCGATACATCCACACTTCAAATGCCTCTAATTTTTTGGTATCAATCTTTTTCAACGTCCATGACTCCATTCCGTAGAACAGCACAGAAAGTACGGAACATCTCATCAGGCGAAGTTTCATTTCAAGGCTCCTTCCGCAGAACACTCTCTTCATTTTAGTGAATATGGATCTGGCTTTTTCTATTCTTATTTTGATTTCTTCTGAGCTATCGTTGTCTTCATTTATAAAAGTGCCTAAATATTTGTATTTGCTAAGTCGATCGATAATTTCATTGTGTAAATATAAATTTTGGACATTTTTTGTTGATTTCGATATTACCATAAATTTAGTTTTCTTTATGTTCAAAGATAGTCCATATTCTTCGCTGCAGTCTGCTATCTTATTCACCAATGTATGTAACTCTTCAAGTGTTTCTGCGATCAGAACGGTGTCGTCGGCAAATCTCAGATTATTTAATCTAACACCATTTATTTTAATACCTACGGATTGCTCAGAGAGTGTTCTATTCATTACGTCTTCAGAATAAAGATTAAACAGGGTTGGTGACAGTATACACCCTTGTCTCACACCTTGCTTTATTTCAATTTCTTCAGTGGTATTATTCTCTACTCTCACTACTGCTTTCTGATTGTAGTACATATTTGCTATTAGTCGGATGTCTCGTTTATCTAAATTCTTTTATTTCAGGAGTCTAATTAGGTGATCATGCCGCACTTTATCAAAGGCCTTGTTGTAATCTATGAAACACATGAATACATCTTGATTTATGTCAAGACATCTTTCAGACATAACGTTCAGTGCAAACAAGGCCTCTCGTGTTCCGAGTCCATTTCGGAATCCAAACTGGGTATTATTGATGTCCATTTACAGTTTTCTGTGTACTCTAGAGTGTATAATTTTCAGGAATATTTTCAGTACATGGCTCATCAGACTAATTGTACGGTAATTACTACATTGTTTGGCATTTGTTTTTTTTTTGGTATAATAACAAAGGTGGATAAAAGCCATTCTTGTGGTTTTTTTTCTGATGTATAAATGTTATTGTTAAGTTCAACTAAAATGTGAATCGAGTCTTTTTCTATTAGTTTAAGGATTTACGTTGGTATTTCATCAAGACCTGGGGCTTTACCATTTTTCATTCTTTTTAGTGCGTACATGACTTCCTCTTCCGTTATTTCTGGACCTTCGTCTCCTTGTATGTTACTTTGTTTGTTAGATTGTTGTCTATCATCTGCAAAGAGTTCTTCAATATAGTTTTTCCATGTCTTCAACTGTTCTTCTAGTTCTGTTATTATGTTTCCGTTGACATTATACAGGGTATTTGGCTGCTTACGTTTTTGTGTACCTGCAAGTTCTTTCACTTTTCTATGTACATTAAAAATATTATGTTTTGCCTGCAATTGCTTTATTTCTTCACATTTTTTTCGAGAAGCATTCGCAATGGTGATTGTCAACGTCGGATAATTCTGATATAAGACGCTAAGAAGAAGAAGATATTTACTTATCTTTTTTTCTTTAGAAATTAAACAAATTTTTAAGACCTTTTATTAGAAAATGTTTGATTGATGGGGTTTGGTAGCAGTGAGTTTTTTGTAACAATTTTTAAAATTGATTGGTAGAAAACAGCTGGAATGAGAGGGTTATTTAAATAAAATATATAGAGAGGTTTGAGGAGTCGATATTAATCCTGACAGGAGAAGAAATAGGTATTGTGATTTGAAGACCCAAAGATCACTATACAGTTTTTCTGATAAGACGGTGCTAATTAGTAGAGTTTCCAAAAAGCAAATTTTGTGAAAAATTGTGTTTTGTGTTTGTGGAAAGAGGTCCTAATGTGGTAACGGGCAAAAGAAGTTGAAGAAATAGATGACATACTGTAAGTAAAAACAGATGTATAGTTTATATTTGGCCAAGTCGAACACTTGAGATATCCATTTGTCTGAAGAGAAACAGTTGTTCCTGGACTTCGGAGTTTGAGTAAGGAGTTGGGCAAAGATTAATGCAGTTGTAGAATTGTTATATCGAAACAGATAGGCAGAGGAAAGAGCAGGCGTATTTGGAGAAACTGGGAAGTACGACCGAGGTGGGCACGTCACAATCAAAGGAGAATAAGATGAAGTCAGCCGTTTTTAATTGTTTGTTTTTCTTAATTGAAAATTAAAGTAAATATAAACTTTTTGAGTTACTAAATATTGAATTGAAAAGTTCTTACCATTTTTCAAATGGATCTTCTTTAATATTAAACTCATATAATAATCCTTGGCCTATGTTTGTGATTATGAATAAGATGTTTCGGTTTGACATTTTAAAATAGTTAAAATGATTGACTTTATTATCCAAGTTCCATGACCAAATGTTATTCTAAAAAAAGTTTTTTTTTTAATTTAATAACGAAAGACATTTCATTATTACTTACAATATTATTGTTCACTGAAATGAACCAGTCTAAACGAGTAGAATTACTAAATGACACTATGATAACTATTTCGGATTTCCCATTCCTTCTATTATGGAATAAGATAATATCTTTTGGTATATTTTCTGTAGCTATAAAATAAAAAAATAATAGAATAATATCAAAATCGATTAATAAAAATAAATTTTACTCATTAATACTGTTACGAACATGCATTCAGTGTGACCAGTGTAACAGTTGCATCTCGAAAGAGACTAGAAGTTTCCGGCGATATCGAGTGCGAGAGAGAACAACCCGTCAAGTAGGCGAATTAGAGGTGGGCTACTTCAGAATGTTCGAGAACATAGTAACTTTGGTAATATATGTAACGATGTTGTGAGTTAAAGTTAGTTGTTAAGATATTACCGAACTGTAAACTTATAAATAAATATATTTATATAAATTCGAACCGTTCGTTTTATTTAATCTCGTTACAATATATATATATATATATATATATATATATATATATATATATATATATATATATATATATATATATATATATATATATATATATATATATATATATACGCCCAGAATAATAAAAATTCATCAATTTTAACGGCTTGATTTTTTAATTTTTATTTGAATTTCATTTTAAATATAAGGTTAATGCAGGTAACATTGACACATCTTCACAAAATAATTTTTTTCTCGCATATGACTATACTTGGAAATTTAAAATTACGCGTGTTGTTAGGTTGCCATATTAGGAGTACATCGAGAGTAAAAGTTTATTTCAAAATTTTGATGCATTTTTTTATTTTTCTAAATGTCAATATTATCCACACTCTAAGAAAATACTGTAACCCCATATTAACTATATTATGAGCCAATATTTACTAATAATTAATTAGGCACTGTTTTTGGTTAAAAATTTATTTAAAACACAAAAAATTCGAAAATAACAAAAACCAAAGTTAACAAATAGTGATCGCTTCTATTTTTCTGTTACCTTTCCAATGTAGTTCTTTAAAATTCTTTAGAAAAGCTGTCAAGAAGGCAGCAAAAAAAGACAAAAGAAAGTGGGCAGAAAATCTTGCTGAAGAAGCGCGAGTCGCCGATGAACATCAAAACATGAGACAATTATATAATATCACTAAACAACTAGCCAATAAAAGATATACTACCCACCAACCAATTGTAAAAAGTGCTACAGGTGAAGATATTACAGCGCCACAGGAACAAGTCAAAAGATGGCATGAATATTTTAGCGAATCTCTAAGTGCAGTCCCAACACCACCAAAGGACGCAGAAAACCTAATACCCAATATCCAACTGAGAATTAACACCAACGAACCAACAACGCAAGAAATAGAAATGGCCATAGAAAAACTGAAAGCACACAAAGCAGCCGGCCCTGACAATATTTCACCAGAGTTGTTAAAAGCTTGCCCAGGTACAGTGGCAGAGCTAATCCAACCACTCTTGAAAAGGGCTTGGAGAGAGGAAAAGTTCCCCAAAGAATGGAAAACGGGATTAATAATAAAGATACCAAAAAAGGATGACAGAAGATATTGCGAAAACTGGAGAGGAATCACACTTCTGAACACTATAAATAAATTAACAGCAATAATTATAAACAACCGACTAACAAACAGTGTAGAACCAATGTTGAGGAAGGAACAAGCCGGTTTCAGACCAAACAGATCATGCGTGGACCAAATTAACACACTAAGAATAATTGTAGAACAGTTACAGGAATTCAACTCTCCTCTCTTTGTGTGCTTTGTGGACTTCAAGAGAGCTTTTGACACGCTAACACATACGGCCATATGGAAAGCACTGCAGGAAATAGGAATACCAGAAAAAATAGTAAATCTCATCAAAGAACTCTACAGTGACACAGAAAGCAAAATCCTACACAACGGCATAACATCTGACCCAATAGCTATGTTAAACGGAGTAAAGCAGGGCTGTGTTTTATCCCCCATACTATTTAACATTGTACTGGACTCCGTACTAACAAAGGTAAACTAAAGGTAAAATAGAGGAATTTACTGGGGATTAACAAACAGACTGGAAGACCTAGATTACGCTGATGATATATGCCTCCTAGCACATACAAAACAGGACATGCAACTCCAAGTAAACAAAGTACAAGAAGAATCAAAGAAGGTTGGTCTAGAAATAAACATCAACAAAACCAAAGAAATGCGATTTGGTACCAGAAACAACCAACCTATTATGATCAACGACCAGAAAATTGAGAGAGTAGCGGAATTTGTATATCTGGGCAGCAGAATTGACTGTAATGGGGATACAAAGCGTGATGTACATGAAAGAATAAATAAGGCTCGCAACGCCTACAACATGCTTAACAACATATGGAAATCCAGGATTTACCCAACTAAAACGAAATTAAAAATCTTTAACACAAATGTAAAAGCTGTATTACTGTATGGCTGCGAAACATGGAAGATATCAGCACCCATAGTACACCAATTACAAGTTTTCATCAATAGAAATTTTAGCAAAACCCAAGAGTTAATCCCAATTTTGTTAGAATCGTTTTCTTTTGTTTTTGTCACTATATTGGGAATATCATCTTTATCCTCCAATAGAGGTGCATCTAAGTCTGGTTCGTCATCCATTCATAAACTAACTTCGCTCTCAGAACTTGTAAGGGTATAATTTGCCTACCACATTGAGTATCACTTATAAGGGGTTAAAAGTGGGGACTTTTGGATAACTGACCAAACTTGAGTTTATGCAGATGATAAAACTTGCAAGTGTGAGTCCATAATTGAATAGATATATTAAAGTATAGATTGTGATTATTGACCTTTTTAATATATGTGTTCAATTATCTATCTATTATCCATCTATTATCTATTATTTTATTAGAATATTATCCTGTAAATAATACTTTGCAGGTTTGTATATGTACAGTCACTAAAACAATTTAACATGTCGGACACGGATTCTGTCGATGACCTCGTAAACATGCCTTTAACTCCCCTTAAAAAGAGATCGAAAAAGGTCACTTAAAGGTAGACGTTAAAGAAATAATTGTAAACGTGTATAAGCACGAGTTACAAGAAAATCCGGCGTTATAGTGTATTTTTATGTATGAGAGAGTAATAAAACAATAAATTATGTATGCAAATCCCTAAACTGTTGATACGGGACTCAATGAAAAACAAATATTTGTCAACAAGTTTACAGAAGTATATAGGAAAACAATTTTAAATTGAGTATGACCACCAGGTATAAAGGTTGGAGCAGAATAGAATACAATAGTTGTGAGGGTTACTAATCCCTAAATAAGGTTGCCAGTGTCGGAGTGATGGAGGTTAACAGGTACTAATGAATTTGCAAGAAATGTAAGATGTTTATTTTATTGGTTATATATAACCAATAAAAGTTTAATAAGTACCTACCTATTTGCAAAATAAAGTTTAATTCTTTAGATAAAATAAAACGTTTTATTTTATCTGAAATGAGTGCATTCCACGAAGTAAGGGTTTCAACAATCAAACATTTAATTCTTTAATTCCAGGAATCTACGACAGTAATTGACTAGATAATTACCTTCTAAACTTATTCCACAGAAAATGTGATAGTGGGTTTTTCCATTTTGTAGGAAGGTCCAAGTGGCGTATTCAAAATTCTTAACAGTTCACTAAAAGTAGGTACTTCAGTTGCAAGGTGCAGTTTATTGTGTATACTAGTGTTATGGAAAATTTGGAAGTGCCGTGTAAACGCCGAAAAATTGGTCCTTTAACAGTTAATGAAAAAACATTAATATTTAATTGTTTTAAATCATTTACAGACAAACGTTTATGTGAAAGTGTTGATGAGACCGTTGAGTTAGTTAGCAGTACACTTGGTGTTGGGAAATCTACGATTTACAGAGTTATTAAAGAAGAGAAATGTGGTAGTTTTCAAATGCCACGTAATGCTCCAGGGAAACCAAAATTTCAAATAGAATATCATTTTAAAGAAGGACTTCGACGGAAAGTGCATGAATTCTTCTTTACACAAGAATTTCCAACATTGGATAAAGTTCTTGTCTCAGTTCGAGATGATAAGGATTACCCAGAAATGAGTCGAAGTACGTTATGGAAACTTTTAAAAGAAATAGGCTTCCGCTGAAAAAAGAATCTCAGAAAGTCTATTTTATTAGAAAGAAGCGATATTGTCATATGGAAAAGACATTTTCTAAGAACCATAAAGGAAATGAGAAACCAAAAAAGAAAAATATTTTATCTTGATGAAACATGGATCAACGAGGGTCATACACCAAATAAATTTTGGCAGGATGAAACTATTACAAGTCAAAGGCACGCTTTTGTCAATAACTTATCTACTGGTTTAAACCCACCATCAGGAAAGGGACGCAGGCTGATAATAGTACACATTGGCAGTTCAGACGGTTTTGTTAAAGGTGGCTTATTAACTTTTAAATCAACTCGTACCGGTGACTACCATGAAGACATGAACGCTGATGTCTTTCAAGAATGGTTCAAACAAATGATAGATCTTTTTCCTAAGAACTGTGTAATAGTAATGGATAATGCAAGTTATCACTCCAGACTTATAGAAGGATTGCCCACAACCAAGTGGTTAAAAAAAGACTTGCAAAATTGGCTGGGTTCAAAAAATATTACGTACCATCCCGGATCTATAAGAAAGAAACTTTATTCGTTGTGTGCCCTTCATAAAGAAAAATTTAAAAAATACGAAATTGATGAAATTGCCAAAAATCGTGGAATGACAGTACTTAGATCCCCACCATATCATTGTGAATTAAACCCGATTGAACTGGTATGGGCACAGATAAAGAGTGAAGTTTCAAGAAAAAATACCACTTTTAAAATTCATGATGTTAAACAGTTGTTTTTGGAGGCCGTAAATAATGTAAAACCTGAAAACTGGGAAAAGGCAGTAAATCACACTATTAAAGAAGAGGAAAAAATGTGGAAGCTGGACAATATTACTGATAAAATGATCGAGCCAGTTATTATAAATCTTGGTTCTAAAAGTTCATCTTCTGAATCTGATTTGGATTTGTAACAAGTAGCTGTAAGTTTTATATTAATATTTTTATTCATCTATTTAACATACCTTAGACGGTTTTAAAAACTCTTTTTCTCTTTTGTAATTTTTAAAAATAAAAAAAAATGTGAATTTTTTAAAACCCTTTTGAATGTAGGCCAGTCAGTTCTAATATAGTGTGTGATAAAAGAGGTCACTTTGGTTTACATACACATAACACTTTATAACACTGAAATAATTCATTTATTTTTTACAATTATTCAAAGTAATTTTTCAATTAATCTTGAGCACGCCCATGGAGTGGTCGGAGGTACCAGTTAAAATTATGTTAATTACTCTCTCGTTCATAAAAATAAACTATAATATTGTCCGCTGTTGAGAAAAGAGTAGCTGATAAAGTTGGAGTATCGGATAGTTCTGTGTTTAAAGTTAAACGAGAATATAAAACTACACACACATTAGTTGCATCAAAAAAAATGTACCACTTGTAAAGGCAAACTCGAATCTGTAGATAATTTTGACAAGGCAGCGATAAGAAGAATAGTGCATCAATTATTTTTTAGAAATAAAATTCCCACGATAGATAGAGTTCTACAACAGGTCAACGACGACCCCAATGTACCTGATTTCAAACGTACTACGTTTTACCAGCTTGTGAAAAAACTTCAATTCAAATTTGAAAAACGTGACAGGAACAGTATGCTTACGGACAGAGATGACCTTGTAATATAGATAAGAGAATTTTTAAGGCAGATAAAAGATCATAGGAATGACAATCGTGAAATATACTATTTAGATGAGACTTTGATTAAGGCCGAACAAACTAAATCAAAAACATGGATTTATAAGTCAGTCACCTCTTCAAGACAAGCATTTTAGGATGTACTCTCGACAGATCTGAAAAATCCATCAGGTAATATTTTTTGTTATTGAATTGGATAAATAATATTTGAATTTTTAGGTACAGGAAAGCGACTGATTATTTGTCACATAGGCAGCGCAGCGAAGACATATTTGTTCCTGACGCTCTATGGAGTTTTGAATCAAAGAAAAATGGAGATTACAAAGGCAAGAATGGCTACACCTAAAAAGCATCCCCTTTGACGACTCACTTCTCAAAGTGCAACTTTTAGCACTTGTTAATCAACATAAAAATACTGTATGATAAATACATCATCGACGGAATGGCGATAGATAATTTAGTAGATTCAATTATAATAAACCCTGACGATGATAGTACATCTAGTTCCTCAGAATAATATTTTGTACTAAGTTTAAGTATTTGTGGATTAGGCCTACCAGGGAAACCACATAAAAAACGCACCATTATCACTCTACCTCTATGATGGTGTGGAAATAAGTTATCATCTTCTTGATGTGCCTATCCGTGATGAATGTTGGCGATCATCATGGCAATGTTCACCTTATCTCCCACAACGCGGAAGCTGCATAGATATTGTGTTGAACCAAGTTCTGAGGTTCTTCAACCAGGATGTTCTTCTTCCTGGATCCCGTTTTCTAATTATTTTTCCTAGCAGGATGGCTTGTAGAAGGGCATATCTGGATTCATTTCGCATAATGTGTCCAAAGTACTGTAACTTTCAAGATTCAATGGTGGTCAGTACCTCTCGGTTCTTCTTCATTCTTCTGAGGACCTCCTCATTGGTGACTCAGTCAGTTTACGGGACTTTAAATATTCTTCGATATAGCCACATCTCAAATGCTTTCAATTTTCTGCACAAATTTCAAATGCAATTTAAATTTTTTGTAAAAAAACTATAACTCAAAAGTATAAATACTACCCAATCTATTAAACTTTGCTTTCTGGGGTAGTACCCGTAGAGATGGTTAAAATTTTTTTGAATAATTTTCAATTGGTAATTTGTACAGCTGCCTCAATAAAATTTATGAGTTAGTATCTATGCAGATGCCTTGAAAATCCATCAGAAATACAGAAATTTTCGGATCCATGTTATCTCGTATAATAAGAGATAATTAAGTCACAACATATAAAGCAGACAACGTTAAATTCAGATTCATTTAGTATTTGTAATACTATCCTAATTCTATCGATAGACGTCTTAAAAAAACTTATTACTAGTACCTAAAAATTAGAAAAAATAAAAACCAGTACTTACATATGGAAATGTTGGACTCCATAATAAATTTTGTACGATTTGCATTCAAAGTCCATGACGTAAGTTCAAATCCAGTTTGGGCCAAGCCAACAGAATATGCTGTGGGACCAACAGTAATACTTTTCCATTTTGTTATTTCGTTTCTTAGTGGAAATACACTTTCTGCTGTTACGTCGTCCACTACAAGTTCTGTAATAAAACCAACATTTTATTGCATTTAAAAAAATCTATTGGTAGAATATGGGGTGTTGAAGCGAGCATATAATGACGGTTTTAGACGATTATTGCTATTAGCATCACTTAGCCCCTTACACTCAATTTTTCGACTATCACTTCCAAGTGGTCTCTAAAGCACGATAATCTTATCAATCCTATAAGATCACAGTATCCAATCCCGGTGGAAAAAAGGCCTTCCGAGGAAACCAAGGAAAAATCGTTATGAAAATAAGAAAATAATTAAGAAGAAAGAGGGCTATGGAAATTAGATCATACACGGAATAATTGTACACTGTACACTGTATAATGAAATATATTTAAAATACCTTTCATTGCATATGAATGTTCCCTATGCGCAAATTCACCGATTTTTCAACCTCTTTTTTGTATTGCAACAAGACACTATTGCCGTTTAGAATGCTAAAAAATAACACATTTTCAACAAATTTTTTGTATCTTTATTATTATATATGGCAATCAAACTTATTTTACATTATTATACGATTTTTCACAATATTACCTACTTGGGTGCAAACGTTATCGATAACTGGAATATAAATAAAGAAATAAGAATACACATTGAAAAAGCCAGAGCCGCCTTCTATAAATTAAAGAAAATTCTAATTAATAGAGATATTACGTTAAACCTTAAAATCAGATTAATACGCTGCTACATATTCTCCACATTGCTGTATGGTATGGAGAGCTGGACCCTTACAGAGACATTAATGAAAAAATTAGAGACCTTTGAGATGTGGATTTATCGACGAGTATTGCGAATAAGTTGGGTTGATCGAATAAGAAATGAAATAGTTTTGCATCGAATGAAAAAGAGCAGAAATAACAAAAACGATAAAAATTTGGAAGTTCCAATATTTCGGTCATGTAATGAGACATCCAGGGAGGTATAACCTTCTACACCTCATAATACAGGGTAAGATCGACGGAAGGAGAGGCCCAAGCCGACGAAGAACGTCCTGGCTACGGAATCTCCGAGAATGGTATCAAGAAACCACCAATAATTTGTTTAGAGCCGCCGTGAATAAGGTTATTATTGCCAATATGATCTCCAACGTTCGTTAATCGAAAAGGCACTAAAAGAAGAAGATACGATTTTTAACGATAAAAAAAAATGATTTTTTTTCATTGGTAATTTCTGGAACGGTAAATTTAAAATATAAAATTCAAAAAGTGTTTTAAAAAAGAAGTTCTGTTATGTGATAGTTTATCAGAATAATTGAAAATCCTCAAATAGGCACAAGATGGCGGATATTTGAAAAAATTGTTTATAAACTGTCAATTTTTTCGATTATTTTCAGTCACAAAAATTTATAATTCTATACGCGCGTTCGACGTTGGAAATTTGTACGGAAGGGAATCGGGAAAATCATTACATATGTAACAGATAAGTAAGAGAGAGACAAAAGCTATATTTTCTCCCTCTCTTTCTCCCTCTCTCGAAAATGTATGGCCGAGAACTGTCAATTTTGAAATACATTACTGTTATGTCTAATTGGCAAATTTTTTGCGTGTTTTATTCATAAGCTGGTATATATGAGTTCGAAACTCAATACGAATTTCCTTTTTCATTTTTGAAATATTTAAAAACTGCATGTTAATCTTCTTCAATATATGTAATATACGCAAAAATGCGAAATTTTAAAATAAAATGAAGTTCGAGTTGTTGGTTTTTTATTTTTATCTTCCACAAACATTTTTTGAAGTTATACTTCTATACGCGCGTTCTACGTTGGAAATTTGTATGGGAGTGAATCGGCAAAATCATTACATTTGTAAGATATGGGTAAGAGAGAGACAGAAGATATATTTTCTCTCTCTTTCTCTCTCGAGAATAAAAGTGTTCCTTTTGTAAATATATTTAATATTTATTAATATTATTATTATTTTTTAATAAGTTATGTATATTGTCATTTTTAAATACTGATGATTATTGCATTTTAATTTGTATTGTATTATTATATTGGATTAAGTGTATTGTATTGTATTAATATATCAATAAAAAATAAACAATAAATTTTACTGCAGAGTATGTATAAAAAATTTTTTTGCATTCAACTCATTTCATACATATATTAAAATAAAAATATACATTTTCATCAAAATATTGATTCAATCCTTCATTTACTATACTCTTATTGCAGATCAAATGTGGTTTATATTCAGCAAATGATGCACCATATACCTATATACCTAATTATGTTTCTCTTTCTGCTCTCTCTTGCCTATAGCATTAAATATGTAATGATTAGAAATATGTGATCTATAGAAGTATAACTTCAACCGGCAGTCCCACTGGACTGCCACACCCGTTTTTTAATATTTTTTTGTCAAAATGTGGTAAACTGTTAATAAACTGGTAAACTAGATAAAATCAAAACAAACAAAATGCATAAAATTTTATTAAAATTAACCGACCCGATCTAGAGAGTAACTGTCAGCCAGTCTTAAAAAGGTAGTTTTCCTCAGAACTTTAATCTCTGGATCAAGTCAGTCGATTTTGATAAACCTTGGGGCATTTTGTTTGTTTTGGTTTTCTTTGTGATAGTTTACCACTATTTGATCAAAAAAATATTAATAAAATTTTTGTGAATGAAAAATGTCGAAAGCATGGTTATTTTTATGAACAATTTTTTCTAATGTCCTATTTTGTTTGTTGTTAAGAATTTAAAATTTTTTTGGTAAACTCTTACGTAAAAGCACTTATTTTTTAAAACTCTTTTTAAATTTTAAATTTCACATTTGCCGTATCGAATATTCACTGTCCGCCATAGAGAGTAATTTTCGGATGAACAATTATTATTGTCGGCATCATTAAAATACAGGAGTAATGGAAAAGGGGAATTTTTTAATCTTCAAACCAGAGAATAAGAAACAGAAAATAAACGTGCCATGTTTTAGAAGGAAACACATAACACAGACATATGATTTGTGAGGTTATGTAATTGTTTATATTTATGTTTAACTATATTATATTTATGTTATTATATTTAACAATGTTAATATAATTGTATAGTATGTTTATGATTGCCGTACGTCAATTAAACCGGGTTAATTTTTCTATGTAGGTACACCACATAAACAACACTGGTTCCCTCTAAAACATGGCGGAACGTCTGCGGGAAGGAAGACATTCTGATTGTTTATTATTCTGTGACGTAGACGTACCTTTATAGAAGGAATTCAGAAGGTCCAATTCAAAAAAATTCCGCGATTCTGGGGTAAAGAAGCTACTTATTGTTGGACTTGTTCCTGAATGTAAAGATAATAATATAAAAATGCTGTGTTCATTAATTAATTTACAAGATGTTAATGATTTTTTTTGTGGATTTGAAATTGGACCTTATAGTTGTATGCATCCTTGCACTTGGTGCTTCGCGAGTAAAAGATGAATTGGATAAACGTGGAAATCTCAGAATAGTAGAGCAAATAGAAAAATATTATGGAGACTGGAGAAATGCAGGTGGAAGCGAAAAAGATGCAAGATATTACATGAATTGTGTTAATTTGCTAATAGTAAAGAAAATTTTTGAGGCACAATCAGAGACATTGATTATAAATTTACTAGCATCTCCTGAGCTCCATCTACATATTGGTGTTGTAAATACGATCTACAATCATATGTTTAAAAAATTTCAAAGTATTTCCTTAAAGTGGGCTTCCTTATGTTACGTTCAGTGTAAAATTTTCCGTGGTTCTTCTGGTTATGATGAAGATGATTGTAGAAAATTATTGAAAACAGAAAGTACAAGTCTTTTACCTAGACTCTGTGATGATTACAGTATTTTAGAGTGTTTGGACTATGTGGAAGCTTTTGTTGATTTTAATTCTGTTTTTGAAGCTTGTTTTTCTACAGAATTAAAAAGCAACTATGTTAATTGTATTTGACATTTTGTGAAAAGTCCATCTTTCTATACCTATTACTCCAAAAGTACACGCGGTTTTTTTCATATAGTAAATTTTTGTACAAATTATGAAACAGGTTTAGGATATTTTTTAGAACAAGCTTTTGAAGCTGTTCACCATGATTTTAAGAATACTTGGAATAACAAATATATTATCAAACCAAACAATCCACAACATGTGGATTAGAAATACTATCAAGTATTAGAAATATAAATTTCATGTGTAAAAATGATTAAGTTTAACAGTGAAAGTGATAAAGAGGCCTATAAAGCGCTGAACGGTCAAATAAAACGACTCTGCAAAAAGGACAAGAACACACACTTGAACAAAATCTGCATGGAAATAGAAGGGCATAAAACCAAAACTGAGACCAGAGACATGTTTAAAAAAATAAAGCAGATAACACGTTCCTTTACACCAAACTACCCTGCTATCAAAGATGATAACGGAACTCTACTCACTTCTAAAAAAGATATTTTACACAGATGGAAAGAATACTGTGGACGACTGATGATGGAGGAAAGCACAGACGCCCCATTACAACAAGAAGATGCCAGTTTTGCGACGGAACCTGACGTACTCAAAAGTGAAGTTGAAGCAGCAATTATGAGGCAAAAAAGTCAAAAAGCTGCCGGTCCAGATAACATACCTATTGAAATGATTTGGGCCCTAGATGACGTTGGAGTGGATATAATACATCAAATTTTGCCAAAGAGTGTGGGAGACAGGTAAATGGCCTGAGGACTGGACACAATCACTATATATTCCCATACATAAAAAGGGAGCGAAAGATTTATGTAGCAACTATCGCACAATTGCTCTAATTGCGCATTGCAGTAAGATACTCTTACACATAATTCTCGAGAGGATAAAGCCCTTTTTACTACCTAACATTGCGGAGGAACAAGCAGGTTTCGTCCCAGGACGTGGTACTAGAGAACAAATTTTAAACGTACGGCAGATTGTAGAAAAATCCAGAAAATTCAACATCACAACATATTTGTGCTTCATAGATTATAGTAAAGCTTTCGATTTGGTCAACTGGAGTAAAATGTGGCAGGTTTTGTCTAAAATGGGAGTCCCTAATCATCTGATATTGCTAATTAAAAGCCTGTACAATAACAATTTTGCCAGAGTCTGAATAAATGGGGAACTAACTGACAGTTTCAGGGTCACAAAGGGCGTGAGACAAGGCTGCATACTAAGCCCAATTTTATTTAACATCTATGGTGAATGGATAATGCGGAAAGCTACTGAGGATTGGAACGGTGGCATCACCATTGGCGGGAAGAAGATTTGCAACTTGAGATATGCAGATGATACTACTATCCTCGCTAGTTCTGAAACTGAATTGATTCACCTGCTACAACGGATAGAAGACGTAAGCTTAACGATGGGCCTTAAAATAAACAGGGATAAAACGAGAATCATGATAATTGACAGAGCTAACAACAATCAAAATCATCTGGTTAGGATAAACAATATCGCTGTTGTAGATAAATTTGTGTATCTGGGCTCATTAATAACCAACAAGGAGGCTGTACTGAAGAAATAAAGTGGCGGTCAGCAATCGCAAAAAGCGCTATGACAAAATTAACAAAAATTTGGAAAAGCCATGAAATTACTACCGATACAAAAATGAGACTAGTAAGAAGTCTAGTTTTTCCAGTTTTTACTTATGCATCGGAATGCTGGACCCTTACTGAGAAAGACAAAAAAAACATAGATGTATTTGAGATGTACTACTGGAGACGAATGCTGAGAATACCATGGGTGACCCGAAGAACAAATGAATCCATACTGGTCCAGCTAAACATAAAGAAAAGACTAAGAACACAAATAACAGAACAGATAATAAGCTATTTTGGACATGTGCTTCGAAGAAATGGTCTTGAAAAACTTACCATCCAGGGAAAAGTAGAAGGCAAAAGAAGTAGAGGTAGATCTCCTACACGATACACGGACCATATTGTTGCTACCATTGGCGCTCCATTGTCAGAATGTGCTAGATTGGCAGAAGATAGAAAAACGTGGAGGAACATTGGAAAAATTACCTAACAGCTTCATGATATCACGATACCTGCATCAGGTTAACGACTATGAAGAAGATATTAGTACATATATTATTTCAAACTATAATATATAATATAATGTAAATTAAAAATGTAACTTCAATTTGTAGCACAAACATTATAAAAAATATAGATAAATAAATTAACATTCTTGATAGTGAATACATTGATATGAACATAAAAAATACTTGTATAAAATCGGATATAATTGGCGTTTAAAATACAAAAAATGTTTAAAATGCTATATTTTTGGCTTTATAGGTGCTTGAAACTTTTATCTAATTGCAAATTGAAGGTCTTAGATCTAGTTTAATAATCTCCTTACCGCAAAATACTTTAATGCTGTAGAGATGAAGAAAATAATAAATTTTTAAGCATGATCTAATGTAAAAGGGACGATTTTGGTAATTTTAAGAATAAAAACCTTTTTTTTTTCACAATTCCACACATGTGCGATTTAAATTTTAGCATGAAATATCATCTTTTACTTTAAATAACATATCCCAACTGTAATATGTTGGTTATTTTAGCTTTTGATAAAACATATTTTAGAACTCACCGTGGTTTTACTTACCGTCTCTACTAAGATTTATATCCAAAGTTTGAAAAGACTTTACATGATTCTCAAAACTTTCACATAAACTAAAAGTAAAAGCAACTATAAAAATATAACTTAGTTTAAACATTTTTGGTAGCATAATCGCATTGCTAAAAGGTTTTAAACATAATAAATAGAGCTTATATTACTGGCAATGTAAAAGTAATTAGCAACAAAATATAAAAAGTTTTCGTACAACTCTATAAAAAAAAATTGGAAACCAAATTTTGAACCGAAGATATAAATAATAGGCCAGTATATAAAAATCTTGGTAGATAGACAGGACGAGCAGTCAAATATGTTTGGTTTGAAGTTTACACGCTTTCAATTATTCTGTTCAATCAATATTTTATATTTTTCTAGAACTGTTTCAAAATCTTTTAAGGTTTGTTATTAGAGCTTCGATAATGCAATATATTTATGCAATTATAGTTAATATTTTATAGGGCTTTAATATTTCTAATTAGAGATTGCCTTAATAACCGAAAATAATCATTTTATAAATGTGTAAAAATGTATTTATTCTTTCACTTGTATACCAGTTTTTTATTTTAACTTGGATACAATTACCATAAACACACTTGCTATATCCAAGTGCGTAATTTGGTTAGGGCGTATAACACCCTGTTGTATAAGAAACAAAATATATACCTATAGAACAAATTTTTTCTTATTTTAAACAATTTTGAAAGGAATAAATATTATAGAACTAACATTTTTTACCCTAAAAAATCTTTATTTATATTTAAAGTAATTTTTTTTAATTACTGAATGTAAATAAATGACACTAGTCTATAACTAAATATAAATCACACTAACAACTACATAATATAGTCAACAGACGTCAAAATATCAACAATTGTCATGGACTACTTCAAACAAGTAAAAACATCTCCATTTTAGTTTTTATATTACGTAAAGTAAAAAATAAAATCTTGTATGTATGTATAACCCAACAAGCGAGAGCAGGCGGGTTGCGCGTAAAACAAATTGAAAAGTGGAAGGGATTGCTCATTTCTATTGCCGTCGGCTAGGAGTTCACATCGTGTATAACCGTTTAAGTACCTATACTATATACCTATTATCGCGATTAAGTACCTCTCCTATCTCTCTTAGAATAATTCCTTTTCTATTTTCGCGCAGCTGACCCGCCAGCGCTCGCTTGTCGGACTATACCACTGGTGTTACCGGATCATTATACCCATCAAGCAAATTCATCCCTCGGAGAGAGTCCCTCTGCCTGGATTATATTGCTCTTTGGGCGTAATCATCTAAATAACGCCCTTGTCATTAACTTAAGTTTCCATTTGATGAATAACTGTTTGATTAGGTGTGTTAGGGTCTTCTTTGTTTATATACACTGAGGTTGCTATCAGTTTTGAAAATTGGGATTAATAAAGGCGAAAAAGTTTATTGAAAATTGGGATATTTATTGCGAATACGTTAGGAAATTAAAGATGTAGGTCGTAAAGGTTTCTTCTAACTCTTTCATAAAATAAGAAAATGTCTTGAAATCGATTCGTGAACGTATTAGTATAAGTAGGGTGCTCTATATTATTAGCTATTTTGGAAGCATATGAGAGACAAAGGTGTTTGCATCGTAAACTTAGGGGTGGTTCTCCTGTTAGGTATTGTAAACTTTTCACTGATGTTGTTAGAAAAGCGCTTGTAGCTATTGGACAGGTTCTAAGATTTTTAATACTGATGTTTTGCTGGAGGAATAAATTATCGCACCTTAGTCGAATTTGGCACCATATCAAAACGACAGCAACAAAAACGAATTAGCAAGAGAAATTAAAAGAGCATGCAAAAGAACTAGAGAGACACGCAAACCGGTATGAATCCCATGAGCTATATAACAAAGTCCGATATCTATCCAGGGAATTTAAACCAATCACATAAACAACAATGGATCAAAACAAACATATTATAAATGACGAGAAAGAGGTTGCGGATGGAGAAAATATTGTCAAAGTCTATATGCAGATGATTCCCAGAATGAAAATTACGACGACGACGAATTCACGAGAGAACCAAAAATTCAGAGGTAGAAAAAGTAATCAAAAAGATAAAAAATAGAAAATCACCTGGCGCAGACTACATCACCGCAGAAGTTTTAAAAGAGACTAGAGATTTTGGAGTAAATGTTATGCAAATGATCTGCAAAAATATTTGGGAAACCGGAGTGTGGCCCAACTACTGGACAACATCCACTTTCATCCCTATATTCAAAAAAGGAACTCCGCTAGATTGTAGCAACTACGGAACCGTAACCCTAATAGACCATACAAGCAAGGTTCTACTTCATGTTATACATGAAAGACTAAAAGCGTTTCTATTGCCTTAGATATTAGAAGAAGAAGAAGCGGTATTTGTCCCAGGAAAAGGCACAAGAGAACACATCCTTAATGTCAGAGAGCTAATCGAAAAAACTCGTGAATTCAATACTCGTATGGTTATATGCTTTGTGGATTACACAAATGGGAACACCATACCACTTAATTCAACTAATTAGAAGTCTATATGAAAATAATAAGTGCACGGTAAAAATAATATAGAATAGTATGAATAGCACGAGGTAAGTCACCAAATGGACGAAAAAGTATTGGCAGACCAAGAAAAAGATGATGAAAAAAAAAACAATTTAGGAGGCTAAGATTGAAGAAGAACTAGACTTTAAAGCCTACATACTAGAAGGAAAAAGAAGAAGAAAGTAAAACTAAACAACGCCCATTCCGATAATTTCAAAATAGAAGAAGGTGTCAGGCAGGGATGCATAATTTCGTCAACTCTGTTTAATATCTACAACATTATGCGAAATGTACTAGATGGATAAAAGGGTGAAATATCAGTAGGAGGTTAAAAAATCGCTACCTTAAGATATGCTGATGACACTTTAATAATCGCGGGAAATCAAGAAGAAATGGAAGACATAATAAGATGTCTCGAGGAGAAGAGAAAAGCAAAACATATGGACTAAAGATAAGTTGAAGTAAATTTGATATGAATTTTAACATATTACCTCTAATATATCAATTAAGTTAACTACAGTGGATCAATTCTGTCTAAATCTGCTTTGTTGTAAATATGAAGTTGTTGTTGTTCTAAATACCATTTCAATCTTTTATTTACCATTTTCTTTAACACCTTATATATAATATCGGTTAAAGATATTGGCCGATATAATTCTGAGGATGTTCGGGATTTATATGGTTTAATATTTCTTCAGACTAGGTTGACGAAAATTCCTGGTTGATTCAGATTGGATTATAAAGGTTTAATAGTAAAGTTTTCCCATTGCCTGAAATATGTAGTAGAAATGGTAGAGGCAGACTATCTGATCCGGAGATTGAATCTTTGGAAGAGTTAAACAGGTTCTGTTAAGAAAATGGGAACGTTAAGGATATGATTTTGTTCATTTTTGTTAGAAAAGGTATCTTATTTAACTTTTTCTAAAAAATTTCCTTAAAATTTTCCAAATCTTGCTTTTTGTTGAAGAAAAAAAGGTGCTTTCATAATTATTGTAACTTTTGCTGTTGTTTATTACCTTTTTGTTATAAGTACACTCTAACTTTATTTTTTAAATGTATCAGTGACTATTTTTTATTGTTTCGTGTTTGATAAAGGGATACATTTTTAATTGGAGTAAATATAAATGCCAATTTTTATATATTTATTAAAGTAAATAATACGAGAATAAATTTACTAAATTATATTTGTACAATATCATAAATAATTGTCCCTATTGTCCATATTTATAGTCTTTTCCATTGAGCAACCACTTCATAAACTATCTATCACATTAAGTTTAAAATTTTACGGCACAGAATACCACAGTCTTGGATCTCCAACTTTTGGTTGGAACCTTAGATTAACTCGTCTTCCTTTTTGGTCATCAATATCGAAGAATGAATTCCAATCTAATAAGAAATAGAATCCGTTGGGTTTCTTTGGTGGTGGTGGCGGCAGTGTTTCAGTTTGAGTTTCCGCTTCTGAGGCTTCAGTGGATTCATCCCTGGGGCCTCCAAAAGAGTCTTCTAGATCTTTAATGTTAGGAGTTTCTGTTCCATCTGTTGATTCTGACGTCGTGGTTTCCGGTTCAGTTGAAGAAGGCGCTTCTGTAGTGGAGGTTCCTTCTTTCTTAAGTTTCTCAGTTGTTCCTTCTTCTCTTTTTACTTCATTCTTCATTAAATCTTCTTCCAAAGTTAACGGATCAGGAGCGTCTTGTTCATCTAAAGATAGAGGCTTGCCTTCAAAGTCAGCAAGACTATTGTTAAGACTTTGTACTAGAACTTTTAATGTGTCTGTATCAATTTTTTGTAAATCTTCATCAGTTATACTTCGGTTTAAATGTTCCAATTGCTTTATAACATTTGAAAGTTTGTTAAGTTTTTCTATTTCGTCTTTGGTGGCATATAAATTTTCGGATGGGTTGAAGACGTGTTTAGATTGTGTCGAATGTTGTTGACTCTCAGCTGGAACGTACTCTAAAACAAAAAAATATTTATTGAAAAGTGCTGTTCCTATAATTTTAATATAATTAAAAAAATTCTTTTATGGCTGGCTGTTATAAAATTGTCTTTAGTTGATATGTTAGAAATTCTTTCATAATAAAATATAACAAACATGTTGCTTAGAGTTTTCTAAGTGAAGAACGACGGTCAGTTTATTAATGAAAATTTTAATGGTTATTATTAGTATAAAAATATATGTCGGTAATTATAGCGTGGTTACTACTAGAAATATGTCGTCCAACTTTTTGTCCAAGCCAATTTGATGTTTTTACACAGTTTTTAGTTTTAATCATATTTAAACTAGATCGCTTTGACTATCTATTCGTTTAGTCGCTCTTGTAGTTTTGGATTTTAAGTTTAAAATATTCAAATTAATAAAATAAATTACACAAATTAAAATTTGGTAAAAAAAATTATATAAAATACATAAAATGAAATCAAATTAAATACAATTTAATAAAATTTTATAAAATGAAATAAAATTAAATAAAAATAAATAAAATTCCATAAAATTGAGTAAAATTAAATAAAAGTACGTAAAATAATAATTTAGTATTAAATAAAATACATAAAATTAATGATATATAATTAAATAAAATTAAACACAATTAAATAATATTACACAAAATAAATAAATTTAATAAAAGTAAAGAATATTTAATCAAATAAAATGACACAAAATTTAATAAATTTAAATAAAATTACATAAATTTAACAGGTTAAGTTTCATGAAAGGCCAACATGGACTCACACATAAAAGTTATACATGGGTCGCATCATGCCGACGTTGACTCACACGCTAGGCCTTTAGAAAATTCTGTGAAGCTCAATAGCGACTTCTGGAACTCATTTAAAATACACGTGGACATTTCGAGCCCGGCCAGATGGTCAAGAAAGCATACTTGGCCTATGCTTTTGAGATGTCAAATAGGAATCACATGGTCCATAATATTTATAAGTAACAATTGCATAATTAATTTCATTTTTTGTCACAGAATCTATGACAAAAAACAGCCAAGGCAATAGAATTTTTTACAGCTATCACATGTAAATGAGGTGTTAATTGCTTTTCTCTGTGCTATTTCCCTTCCTTTCTGTTTACAATTTTTTACAATTTGTTACAATTTTTGTGTAACACGTTGTACATCGTCTTCTGCCTGCACGACCGACATCGCTGAGTTTGTGATTGTTTTCCATAATGATTGGCGTCACAATAATATCTAATAGGTCTTGAATTACCTCTTCCTTGAATTTGATAATCGTCATGCTTTTATTGACAATGCTTTACTGCGCGACATAGGCATTTATGAGTGCTGTGCCAGTCAAGAGCTCCATCGAGCTCTTGATACAATCCAATTTTGTGTACCATTGTATTCCTTTACATTATGGCGAATTATAGCTTTTCATTTAATCTGATATATCAATGAAGCTTTTATATTTATTATACTCGATGACATTTTATGGCTTTACAACATCACAACGTGCCTTCTGCATTGTCACCATTTCGTAAGCGAATTTGGCAATAATCATCTGCACATCTCGCTTGTCCCTCCATTTCTGAACAATGATGTCCGAACTACTTTGTTCAGCTACATTTTCGCCTACTTTTAATTATTTGGAAATGACGTTTTTGGGATTATATTTCCTGTTTACATGTAGCGTACCAATCATGTAAGTTTTTCGCTATAGAAGTTCATCTGCAAGTATGATAGAACTGTAGTAGTTATTAATCGCAAGTATTCGACCTTTATCAAGCAATCGATTAATAAGTTTCATCACTACATTTGTTGATATGGTGCTACCTTCAGCATGTTCTTATCCATAATATACGTTAAAATCGTAGGTATAACTACCTTCCAGACAAAGTTGAATAATTTTTTCCCAAACTTATGCCTCTTGTTGGCAATACTGCTTGAATTGCAGTCGCACTTCATATTTTAGAGTGTAGATTTTGATTTGAAAATTAAAGAATGTAATAGAAGTACTTTAAAAAAAGTTATCGGCCAACGTTGGCATTAAAATTTTCCATATGGTGGCACCTAACCTATCAAATAAAATTAAATAAAAATAAATAAAATTACGTAAACTTTAATGATATTAAAAATAAAGTAAATAGAATTTCTTCTTCCTATGCCGTCCCCATTAACGGAGGTTGGCGACCACATTTTTAAAAGCTTCTCTGTCTTTTGCAACGTGGAATAATTCGTCTACAGTCATGTTTGTCCAGTCTCGAATATTTCGCAGCTATGACTTCCTCTTTCTACCTATTCCCTTTTTGCCATCGACTCTACCCTGCATGATGACCTGCAGAAGACTATATTTATTATTTCTTAGTATGTGTCCAAGGTATGCAGTCTTGCGTACTTTTATCGTTCTCAACAATTTTTTGACTCGACCCATTCTTCTCAGCACTTTCTCATTGGTGACCCTGGCAGTCCATGGGATTCTCAACATTCTCCGGTATATCCAAAGTTCAAAGGCTTCAATCTTTTTAATTATTTGCGCTTTTAGTGTCCATGTTTCTACCCCGTACAATAACTGCGACCAGACGTAACATTCAACAAACAGTCTCAGCGCAATATTCAGATTTTTGTCACAGAACAATTGTTTGAATTATAAGAACGCTGTCCTTGCCATTTCTATTCGTACTCTGATCTCTTTGTCTGGATCTAATTCTGTGTTGATGTAAGCTCCCAGATATTTATATTTTGTCACTCTCTCTATTTGCTGTCCACCAAGAGTTAGTTGTTCATTATTTATTGGACTCCTTGATACTATCATAAATTTGGTCTTATCTGTGTTGATGTCAAGTCCCATTTGAATGCATTCACTATTTATTGCATCTAGTAAAGTTTGTAGATCTTCTATACTCTCAGCCATAATTACCGTGTCATCTGCAAATCTCATGGTGTTTATGATTTCTCCACCAATTCTTATTCCCTCTTTTCTTTCCCATAAGGCTTTTCTGAATATGACCTGTGAGTACACGTTGAAAAGCGTCGGAGACAAGACGCATCCTTGCCTAACCTCTCTCGCAATCGGTATATTATTTGTTTCTATATCGTTCACCTTTACTACTGCTTTCTGGTTCCAGTATATAGCCTTAATAAACTCAATGTCTTTTTTGTCTAAATTGATGTTTTTTAATTCACCTATTAACTTCATATGCTGCACTCGGTCAAAGGCCTTCCTAAAGTCTATGAAGCATACATATGCACTCTTGTTATATTCCCGACATTTCTGCAAGAGTACCGTCAACGCAAATAATGCCTCTTGTACCCATGCCTCCTCTGAAGCCAAACTGAGTTTCATCTATCTGTTCCTCACACTTCTTATAAATTCGGTTTTGAACAATTTTCAAAAGAATCTTTAAAGGGTAGCACATTAGGCTTATCAATCTATAGTCATTACATGATTTGGGATTGTTGTTTTTTGGTAGAGGTAAAAATATCGATTTAAGCCATTCTTCCGGGATGTTTAACTCTACATATATGTGGTTGAGAATTCGGGTGAGTCTCTTTATAATACCGTCATCTTAGGCTTTTAACATTTCAACTGGAATTTGATCAGGACCCAGTGCTTTTCCTTGTTTTGCACTCTGTAGGGCATTCTTTACTTCTGAGAGTAAAATTTGTAGGTATTGTTTTTCTTCACCTATATCTTGTTCATTTTCTCTCTCGTCATGGAAAAGATGGATTATATATTGTTCCCATACTTCCTTTATTTTGCTCTCTTCAGTAAGTATTTCTCCATTATTATCTCTTGTTATGAGTGTTCTTCTTTGTCTGGTGTTGCCTGTAAGTTCTTTAATTTTTCTATGTAAGTTTGAGGTGTCATGTTTGTTGCTGAGTTCTTCCAATTCCTGGCATTCTTTGTTCATCCATTCCTCCTTAGCCTTTCTGATTTCATATTTGATTTTATTCTTGATGATTTTATATTTATTTTCATCTTTATTTTTTATTTTCTTTTTTCAGTTATTAGCTCAACTATTTCCGGTGTCATCCAGTCTTTTTTAGTTATTTTCTCTTCTTCGCCTAGGACCTCCTTTCCCGCTTTTAGTATGGCTTTTTTCATATCTGCCCATTCAACGCTTCCTTCAGTTAATTTATTTATCTCTGCGTTTAGTTGCTGTTGGCAGTTGTCGTCTTTTAGGTTTTTGATGTTAATTTTGGTGGTTTTAACTTTTTTCCCGGTTTCCTGAGTTTAATGTTGACGTTTGCTAGTAATAGATTATGATCCGTATCTGAATCTGCGCTTGGATAGGTTTTTGCACTTTGTACTCCGTTACGAAACCTTTTGTTAATCGTTATAAAATCTATTTGGTTTTTGATTATATTGTTGGTGTTATCTTTTGGAGAAGTCCACGTGTATAATCTTCGTAGGGGTAGGTCGTAGTATGTATTTGTTATGTTACTAATTCTTTCTCCTGGCAGTACTGGACTAGTCTGTCTCCTCTTTCGTTTCTTTTACCTAACCCAAAATTTCCTACTATATTTCCAGTTTTTCCTCGACCGACTTTAGCATTAAAGTCGCCCATAATTATTTTTACCTCCTGCTTCTTTATGTTTTTTGTTAACAGTTCTAAGTCCGCGTAGAATTTTTCGACCTCAGCATCATTGCTATCAGATGTTGGAGCATACACTTGGATTAGATTTATGTTTAGAGGTTTGGCTTTCAGCTGAAGTAGCATCATACGTTCGTTAAAGGGAATGAAATAGAATTTAATAGAATAATTTAAAATAAAATAAAATAAATAATAAAATATAAAATTAAATAAAATTTATAAAATTAGGTAATATAAAATATTTCATTTACTTTAGTAAATGAAATATTAAAATCAAATTAATGATATAAAATTAGATAAATTACATATAATTACAAACAAATAAATAAAATTAAATTTCATTAAATTAAATGAAATAAAATTATATAAGATAAAATAAAATATAATTAAGTAAAATTAAATAAAATTCAATAAAATCGAATCAAATAAATAAAATACAATATAAAATACAATAAATTAACTTTAAAAGTATGGCTCCATACGTAGACGATAAGAAAGCTATGCTTTCCCTACTCGGTCACTGGTCAAAATGAGATGTAGTCCAGAGTGCCACATCCCATTTTTTGTGTTTTTTTAATTCAATATTTAACGTATTTACTTCTGTCGGTATTCATTAAATGCCATGCGCCGTTTTTAAAAATAAATTATAAATAAAATTTCTTTTATAAATATTACATTTATTACAGATGGTAATAACTTACCATCTTTATCACCAAATCCAATATCCTGCAAAATCTTTTGGTACTCTTCAGGAACCATTTCTAAGTCAGACTCTTTATTTTTATTTAACGATTTCTGCTTTCTAGCATTTCTACCCAGACCAAATCTAGCAAGTAGTTCGTGCATTTCATTTCTACTGTTATTATCTTCAGGCAGAGGTTTAAAGCCCGTATAAGAATCTGGTTTGACTTCTGCTTTTTCTGGATTATAAGATTCATATACTTGACTCAAATTTTCCCGTTCAGGTTCAGGTGGGTTGGGGTTTGGAATGAGACCGAAGTTCATCAAAAGATCTTTCATGTCTGGTGAAAGATTATCGACTACATCACTTACATCTAAAAATAAAGAATAAATAGAAATGTAAATATAATTGATAAAAAGTAACTTTACATTTTAGATTTTAAAAAAATCTATTTTTGTTGGTTTACGTAAAAACATTCGTTAGTATCATCATTTAACATTACTTAATAGGTAAGAAATTTACCTTTTTCCTGACCACAAACCATTAGAGAATATGAATATCAAGTTTAGAAGGGATGAAGAACTAGGTAATTTAACATATTATTTATCACAGTATGTTTTTTTAGTCAAATTATGCCCTGCAAAATATAACTTGTCTGACTGAAGCAGTCTGAAGCTGACTGTCTTAGCAGAAATCCTGTCTTAGGACCAGATGAAAATGTGGATGAGCAGTTTAAAGTTATAAATTTGATAACTGTTGAAGATAAATTGACAGATCAATTTAATATAAAGAGGAATCGAAAAATTCATTCTATATGCAGATGATCATGAAGATTATAGCATACAATTTTTAAAAGATATACATAGAAACTTGTGTCTTATAGGAATAAAACAAATAGGATAGTATTATAATGATATAGTATATGATAATAGCACCATACTATACGGCTAAAAATTTAACAAAAAATATAAAGGAAATATGTCAAAGCTGCGCAGTTGGTAGTTTTGGTGGTTCTCGATCTACCAAAAAATATTTTCATCTTCTAGTAGATCACTTCACACGATATGCATATATCCAAACATTAAAAACGCAAACTGCAAACGATTTTATTAAACTTGAAAACGTGAAAAGCACATCAGAGACAGATCAGATTTGTATTGTTCTAGCAGTCCAATCATCATCATCATTCAGCCCATACTCGTCCACTGCTAAACATAGGCCTCCCGTAGTTCACCCCACAAATTTCTGTCCTGAGCAGCCTGCATCCAATTTTGATGTGTCCGTTTCAGGTCATCCGTCCATCTTGTTGGTGGTCGTCCTCTATTTCTAAAGGCATCTTGTCTGGGTCTCCACTCAAGAATGCGTTTTGTCCATCTGCCGTCCTTCGTTCTCGCGACGTGCCCTGCCCAGTTCCATTTTAAGGTTGATATTCTTTTGATTGCGTCGGTTACTCCCGATCTACGGCGCAATTCTGTGTTGGGTATTCGGTCTCTCAGGGTTAATCCCAACATGGACCGTTCCATTGCCCTCTGTGTTGTTCGAATTTTGTTTGCGGACGTCTTAGTAAGTGTTAGCGTCTCCGCACCATAGGTTAGAACTGGCAGCACACATTGATCGAAGACTTTTCTCTTTAAGCAGATGGGAAGGGCTGATTGGAAAACATCTCTTAGCTTTCCATAAGCTGCCCATGTCAACCCTATTCTACGTAATAGTTCATTGGTCTGGTTATCTCTACTTAAGCGAATTTCGTGTCCCAGATATTTGTATGCTGATGTTTGTTCTATACTTGTTCCAGCTATGTTGATGTTCTCACTCAGAACAAGGTTTGTCATCACTTGTGTTTTTGAGTTATTGATCTTTAAACCCACTTGTGTAGAGGCATGGTAGAGTCTTTCGCACATTTCGATGGCATGATCTATGCGGTCTGTTATCAGGACTATATCGTCCGCGAACCTGAGGTGACTAAGCTGCTCTCCATTTATGTTTATGCCCTTTTCGTCTAGGTTTGCACGCTTACACATGTATTCCAATAATGTTGTAAACAGTTTTGGCGAAATGGTGTCGCCCTGGCGAACTCCGCGATGAATTTTGAACTTGTGTGTATCTTCATGAAGTCTGACGCATGCCGTGGCATTATCATAGATATTTTTGATGACAGTGGTGTAGCGGTGATCTATTCGGCACTCTTTTAAAGCTTCTAGCATTTTCTGGTGGTTTACTGTGTCGAATGCTTTCTCATAATCCACAAAAATTAGGACGAGGGGTTTATAGCAGTCCAATACCCAGGAATATATTCAAAAAAAATTATACTTTCTAAATGAAAAATTTACACCAATATTCTTTATTGTTGCAAATTCACCATGTTCTAAAGGTTTTAACGAAAGATCCGAAAGAAAAAGCTCCGTTTTTCCCACTTTTTTCCCAATTATTGCTAGGTATAAGTTTTTTTGTACGAAAATATCTCTCGAGTTAAATGTTAAACTATGGGCGCAAAAACTATTCGTAAAGAAATTATAGCGGCGAAGGAGATCTGGATGACTACACTTTGCGCCGAGGCTGAAAGCCTATATAAACTTGGCGACAGCTTCAATCTTCACAAGAAAATTAAGGAAATTGCTGGTGTCTTCAAGAAAAAACAAGTCACTGGTATACATAATGACCAAAATGAATTAATAACGGACCCTAGCGATATACTTAATACTTGGAAAATGTACACAGCCAATTTGTTCAATGATGACAGAACACAAAAACCACCACAACTGGGAGACCATTTGTATGGCACAAGTATTTTAAAAGATGAAATTGTACACGCTATCAAACTATTAAAAAGTAACAAAACCCCAGGACCAGATGATATGTACGCAGAAACAATCAAGTTACTTAATGAAGAAAACCTAGACATTATTGTCAAGCTCTTTAACGACATCTACGATACGGGCCAGATTCCAAAAGATTGGCTTCGATCTACATTTATTGCCCTACCAAAAACACCACGTGCGAACTTCTGCAAGGACCACCGACTAATAAGCCTAATGAGTCACTTTTTAAAACTTTCCTGAGAATACTTCACACTAGATTGTTTAAGAAATGTGAAGAGGTCAGTGGATGGAGTCAGTTTGGTTTCAAAAATGGACTTGGCACGAGAGAAGCGATCTTTAGTATGCAAACATTGATAAAGAATTGTTTAGATCAAAGAAAGGATGTTTTTATCTGTTTCATCGATTACGAGAAAGCATTCGATAATGTAAAACATGAATTGATGATAAAATACCTACAAGAGTTGGGATTGGATGCAAAGGATATAAGAATCATCGCCAATCTGTATTGGAATCAGACAGCAAGAGTACGTCTTCAAAATTTCAACGAAACAGAAGATTTCTCCATTAAAAAAGGAGTAAGGCAAGGTTGTATACTGTCCCCAATGCTGTTCAATTTATACGTAGAAAAAGCCTTCGCAGAAGCAGTGGAAGACTCTAATAAGGGTATTAAAGTTAACGGCATATTTATTAATAACATCAGGCATGCCGATGATACAGCCATAGTGGCAGATAACATCGAAGATCTTCAATGCCTTTTAAATAATCTAACTCTTGCAAGTGAAGCTCGGGGTTTAAAAATAAATATCAAGAAGACAAAATCAATGATTATAAGTAGAAATGATTACCCCAACGCAAAGATATATGTCTCTGGAGAAGAAATCGAACAAGTCAGGCAATTCAAATACTTGGGATGTTTGCTGAATGAGGGTTGGGACCCCGAGAATGAAATAAAGAGCAGAGTTGAACAAGCCAGAAATGCTTTTTTGAGGCTTAGTAAGTTTCTGACTGATCGCAAATTGGACTTCAATCTTCGATACGAGATGCTTAAGTGTTACGTGTGGCCTGTTCTGCTGTACGGAATGGAAGCATGGACGTTAAAGGCCAGTTCCATTAACAAACTTGAAGTGTTTGAAATGTGGTGCCTGCGTCGAATGCTCAGAATATCATGGACGGACAGGGTCAGAAATGAGGAAGTACTCAGAAGAGCGGGCTTACAGGATAGGGAACTTTTTAATTATGTAAGAAGTAAGAAGACTGCATACTTGGGGCACATTATACGAGGAGAACGATACACTTTTCAGCAACTGATACTCGAAGGGAAAATAGAGGGTAGGAGAGGTCTCGGACGTAAAAAAATGTCATGGCTGCGCAATATTCGACAATGGACAGGAATCCACAGCTATGAAATGCTTCGCAATGCTGCTAAAAACAGAATTATTTAAACCAGAATATTTAACATCTCACCTGACAAGACGATGTACGGTGGACGCCTACGCAGAAATGCACGGCACCTTAAGAAGAAGAATGGGCGCAAAAAGCAAAAAATTCTCGATTTTTTTCAGATTTTGCTAAATAAAAAATTAAGCACAAGGTTTGCGACTGGCGCATATCGTAATTATTGATACTAGGTACTAATCCTGAAGTGATTCCAGCATAAAAATTGACGACTATGTAAAATGTACAATTCAAAACAGATCCCGCTTGGATTAATTTGTGGCTAGTTTCTAATTTTTCTCAAACAGAAATAAAAAAAGCTTTACCTGGAATTACAGTTGTGGTGGTTGTTGTAGATGTTTGCTGTGCGGCTAATAACTTTAGTGTTGCCAGTAAATTGTTTAACTGTTCGTCTCCTATCTCACTAGTCGGCTTCTGAGTAGGTTTATGTTTTGGTTTATTGTGTTTCTTCGTCTTTTGTTTTAGAGCCGACTCCATATTAAGATCACTTAATACGCCTAAAATAATAGTTATTATTATTTTATATATATATATATATATATATATATATATATATATATATATATATATATATATATATATATATATATATATTATTGTGATATTTAAAGTCTTGGTGCGCCAAGCAATAATTAGCTAATTAATTTTTTTGATTAATTAAAATTATGTAAATGATATGATTATGACTCTATCACAATTTTTAATTCTTTTATCTCAGGGTTAAATTCGTGCTTCAATATCTATGCTATTACATGTGAAAGGTAAGGTCCAAAGGATACCGGAATAATAAAAAACACATATGATCTAACACTATATATTGAAATAAAAATAATGAAATAATTCACACTCAAAAGTTTTCAGTAAACAAAATCTCATATAATAATTCTCAAAATTTTGTTCTACGTACGTGAACAATCAAAATTAATGGTACAAACAATATTAGTTGAAATCTCAAAATCCAAGTATTACTCTAAATCTCCTAATCAAAATATTTATATCCTTTCTAAATTAAGTAAAAAAAAATTGTGTTATCAATGAAAGAAAAAACTGCAAAAAAAAACAAAACTATCTCTCTCTGATGATGAGTGGTCCAAATCCTTGTTATTTGTAGACTATACTATTTACTTGTGGCCGCTCCCTAAGTAATCAGCAATCTTACAATAAATTGTTGCAAGCATATTGTCCTTAATGATCTCCTTCAAAAGCAAAAATCATTCAAATTATGATAGCCTTTCTCCTCTCGATAAACTGAATTTCTCGTTGGCCCGAGTGAAAAATGACTATTGGAATATCTTCTCTTTACGATAAACTGAATCTCTCGTTGGCCTGAACAGTGACTCTTGGAATATAAGTAGAAAAATATGACTTACAATATTTTGCTGCTTCAGCTTCTGTCAGATACACTAACTCCACAAAAACTCACTAACATTCAACACTACTGCTTGCTACTTCTCGGGAACCGCCAGAGAACAATCACTGTTCGTCTTACAGACTTGGAAAACCAACTAATCATCTTCTCTCTCCTAAATCTAGCTAAACTTTCATTCCTACATATCTATCCCACCTTTTTTAATCTCCGCCAATCAAAACTCGTCACAATTCCCCATTCTTTCATTCCGATAACAAACAAATTTTTACCTATAATTATAAAATTTCCTAAAATTACAAATAATATTTTTCTATAATTCTTAAAAACTAACAAAAACATCTTTCCAAATCTCTTCTATTGTCTATAATCACTGCGTTAATGTCTTTGGAAAACCAGGTTCAATTGTTCTTTGGATTTCACTTAAAATTATGCGGGTCACTCAAGTATAGTATAACAAAAGAAATAATTTATGCATAGTACATTTTGTTTAATACAGGTAATCCAAAAATTTTAAATACTTTCCTTCTTCGAAATGTTTGTTGGGTATTATCCTACTTATCTGAATTATTTTAATGTTTTGAATTTTGAAATATTTTAAACAAAAATATTTTTCTCGATTTTACATATCATAACAATATATATATATATATATATATATATATATATATATATATATATATATATATATATATATTGTGTATTATAAAGTATTCAACTAGTGAATTCAGAAGTTTAATTGGTCATTCAGGTTGGCAAAATAAAAAAAGAAGTTAACTACTCCATAAGTTTATCGAAGACCAAACAGCTGTTTCTCACTCCATCTCACGTAAGGTCCATACCGGCCATAAACTTTTTCCTACACTGTATATATATATATATATATATATATATATATATATATATAATATCGATATATACACTAAGTAGATAAATAACTATAAAGTAGACGACTCTTTGTAGAAAGAAACCAAATGTAATTGTCTATATTATATTATTGTTCTTACAGTAACATACTGTCACCATTCTTAATACGTATTAGAAATAGACAAAACACATATCGTAAGTAGGCAATTAAGATTAATAATTGGTAAATAAGCTAGTTATCCTATTGTATCAACGAAAAATTAGCATGGTTACGCCTACAACCAAAATAATGTTCTTTTATATTAATATATTTTTGAGAATAAGTTTAATGAATACAAACAATATCCATAACGTGTATATTACAGATAGCCTCTACACAGTCTGTTATTGACCTAATCTGCTAGTTTCTAATCTACACTAGACTAGCAACAGTTGTTTGTCTTCTACCATTTGATCCAGCTTATTGTAATGTAATATACTGATTAGATTTGTTATTCAGCAGATGTTTTGAACTCTCAGCATTGCTTCGAATAGCGACCATACTCCTAGAAGTGGACCAAGTTCCCGTGTAGAACAACAAAACTCATAACTTTCTTTTGAAGCCAATTGTTAAGTCTTGTCTATCTCAGTCTCTCAGGTGTAAGAAGATCTTATCTTAAAAGTAAATCTAAACAACAAGTTTGGCTGGGACAAATAAATCAAGATATTACCTAATCATATTTGTTGTACATAATATAAAATCAAATTTAATATTAAAAATCAAAGCAAATTTTGCCTATAAAAATATAAAATATGATACTGATGGCATCACTGGATAACTGTTGGTGTTCTTAAAGGACTGCATAATGTAGTGAATAATTGCTGATGATGTAGTTGAATTTGGATTTTTTCATCTTTAAGTTGCCATTGGACCAAGTTGCCATTGGTCGACCAAGTGCTGCAGAATTCTTCATCCAAAAATGTAGATAAAAATTAGGCCAAAACACCCAGAAAAAGATTTAATATGTAAATTAATTTGTAACTGAAGCATGCCTTTTTATAGATAAAGGATATTTCCCTTTTAGAATTTGAAGTGTGACATGGCAGAGCAGAGTTGTCAACTGGCAGATATATTGTCTATTAAAGAGAAGCACAGAAATTTATATGAACCATGTCTGCGACTGAAATTAAATACAGGAAATATAACTGAAATAAATGAAGATTGAAAATGATAAAATGATATATTTAGTTGATTGGAGAATTGAGATAAGAACTGGACGCCAACTATTTTTAGAATAAAAATAGTAAATCAAAAGATAAAGTTAATAGGTAAATCAAATAAAAAGAACTGGGAATAAAATAATTAATCAAAGAAAAATAACAAACATGTGACGTTTATAACGTTACAACCGATTGAAATTTCCAATAAGATGTATCTCGTATCTTTGCTTTGCTATATTTTTCCTTCTCTGGCATCTGTTCTATATATGTCGTACTGCAACTTACTAGATTATCGTACATATTCAATTAACTATTACATAAGTTCTTGAAACTTCGGCTCTCGTCAACACTCCAGGTAGATAGGCCTTTTATTTGGCACTGTATACCTGAATCTTACGCTGTTATGTACTCCCAAGTCTTTTGTACGGCTGAGAGAGTTGAACTCCAAAGCTCTTATTAGAAAAACGTATCGAAACTTTTGAAATGTACATTCGTAGGAGAATACTACGCATTTCCTAAATTATAAGAAGAACAAGCACCAAAGTTTAAACAGAATGTAGAAAGACAAGCGAAAAACTATCAAAAAGCGTAAACTAACGTACATTCGGCATGTAACGAGAGAAGATAGATATGAACTACTTCGGTTAATTCTTGAAGGAAAAATTCGGTAGAAAGGACAAAATTCTTGCCTTGACAACCTGCGAAGTTGACTCGGTAAAACATCGACAAGATCGTTAGAGACGGTGTTTCATGAGTAGATGTAGCCAATTGGATCGCCAACCTTCGAAGAAAGATTGCATAGTAGGAAGATACCCAGGACCCCTGTCTTCTTCTTGATTGGCTTAACAACTCGGTTGAGTCTTCGCCCCATAAACTATAGAACTCCTTCTTCTACGATCATGCGCTTCAATTTCCAATTGTTGTACTCCAATTCTAGATTAATCAGCTTCAACATCATCGTTCCATTTTTTTTAGGATGGCCTACTGATTCTCTACCATCTGGTCTGCCAAAAACACTGTTTTTAGCACTCTGTCTTCCTCTGATCCTACCACATGACCTGCACATCTTATCCGGTTAGCTTTTATATGTCTGACGATTTTTCAGTACCATAGAGAGTCACCGATTCTCCACTTTCCTTTGGGGTGTCAATTCATCTCTTTTGGGTCCAAATATCATTCTAAGAATTTTTCTTTCATATACTGGCAGCTTATTTATTTTTGCTGATGTAGAGTCAATGTTTCACTTCCATAAGTAACAGCTGGGTGAATAATTTATTTATATAGTCTTATGTACCTAGTACATTGCTCTATTTTCCGCAGCTATCCTTACTGAGACCTCTTTTTCTATGTGTTTGTCATCTGTGATCTGTACTAGCTCTTGGTACTAACTAGCATGGATTTCGTCTTACTTTCATTTATATGAGGACCCAGACTACCTGTTTTCTCCTCAAGTTGTGAAAACACCTCTCTCACGTCTCTTGTAGAATGAATGACTGCAGCTAGATCTTCAGCTAAGACCAACAATAGTTTTGATACTCAGTTCGCAAATCCCCCTGTCAGTTCAGACGATATTTTACTTATTGCATACAGGACCCTTATATAAGGATAAATCAAATCTATAGCGACAGTTAGTCTTCGCTAAATGCCATATTCCATATTAATCAGAAATAAGGATGTCGAACAATAATGTATAATTTATTTATATACTTCGAATATTATGGAAAACGCTAATAATTCAGGACATATCTGTTGCTGAGTTCGGCTGTTAGTCATTCCATTATCAGATTCAACAAGAAAGGTGATAAGACTCAAAAAAAGTAAAGACAAAGTAGAGAATACTCAAAAATCCTTAAGACTTGATAACAACGGAGATAAGAAGGCATCAATATTTTTTTTGCTTTGAACTATTGTTATTTTATGCCGTTAAAATTGTGCTGTTATGCATTTCTAAATCGAATATAAATTAAAGTCGTGGGTCGTGGTGTATAAAAACGTGGTGTACGTGATTCCCAATAATTGTAAGCAATATAACAATATCACGGGTAATATCATTTACCTTTAAATATCTTTAATTTTGTAGTAGTAGTAAATTTTTTTTTAATTTGATATTAATTGAATGACATTTAATATGTATGTTATTAGCTAGATATGTCTGGAGTATAATTAATTATTGTTTTATTTATTGTCGTAACGATAATATAAATTAACTTAATGATTCCATTTTGCAAAAAGCCGACCGTAAATTTTACAAATAATTCTTTGTTGTGGTGAAAAATATGTACTTAATTTTTTTTACCTTTCAGATCTTCTGGAATTTCCACGATTAAAGGAACACTTTCATCCTGTTCTTTATCATCTCCTACGCTCAAGTCGATGTCTTTTACTGGTATAAATGATACCGGCACATCTTTTTCTATATACACTTCTTTCTTCTCATCGTGAGCTCCCAAAAGGTCTTCGTTGATGATTTTTGGTGGAAGGGAAGGAGGTTGAACTATTTTTATGCCGTTACTAGGAAACATGGTTGAACTTGAACTGCTCGGAGCTTCATTTGCTTGTTCATCTTCGTACCTGGTTAAAAAAATCGAATCGCTTTAATAGAATTGTTAAATATTTTACTAGGCCTAGTATATTATATAAATAGGTAAATACAATTAGATATAATTATAATGTAAGTAAGTAAAACCAGCAAAGTAATTGCTATCAATTGCAGGTAGTATATTGACAATGGCAAGTGTGACCTTGCCGAAACGTCGTGAAAAAATTGATTTTGTAAATACCAAAAAGGGAACGGTTAATTCAAGTTAATAGTAAAATAAAGGTAGAAGGTATCGGCACATCTCGCAACAAAGGAAAAAATATCTAATAAAATATGTATATAAGATAGAAGGCAACCGTATACAGTAAGGTCTTTTTTATGCGGATTATTTTTCTGCGGTTTTAAAGTTGTGCGGTTTGTAATTCATCCAAAAATTTCTATCATTAACTATTATAATTAAATATTAACTATTCACGTCCAGATGTCAGTAACGTGAGCCTTTGCAATTCAGGTAATGTCTTGTTACATGATGTGCATATTACATCATTTTTGTAAAAAACCAGATTTTTCTCAATTTCTTCAAATTCTTGACGTTGCTCATGTAATATTCTCTTTGTAGCTTTTTTTGTTTTATTTTTCATTAATCGATTGGATCTATTATATTTAATTGGATTTTATTTTAATTTCTTTATTAATTTAATAATTCTCTTATCTTCAGTTTCGTTTTTTACTATTTTTTTCTTCAAAAAGTAGTTGGCGCCTTCTGTCTTTCTTTTCTCTCTCTTTCTGTCCCATAGAATAAATATTCGACCTCTCTCTTTCTGTCCGATAGACTAAATACTCTGTCCTATGTTCACAGGAAAGCTAATTTTATCATAGGCATGCGACCTATGTCATCTATGCAAAGTTCATTTTAGTCTCGCTACTTTCTCCCAATAAACTTTTCTAACCTAGTGGGAATATAATTTTTTGCCTGTTTTTTTTTAATTTATAAAACAAGGCAAAATTTATTATAAGCTTCATTTTATGGTCTGCAACATTCTCTTGGAGTGAGTACTTTCATTGTAATCTTTATTCTATAATTCTGACAGCTTTTTCAATATTCGTAATCTCACTTCTTTCGAAAATACGTTTTTCGATTATATGCATGTAGGAATCTTTAGGAAACACATTTTAACTAAGTAATAATAATTATATTTCATTTGATCCTTGCCATCTACTGTTTGTTTCATTGTAATTTTGTAAAATGGCAATGAAGTTAAACCCCTTTTGATGTGTCTCTAATACAAGTTGTTGTATTTTAGTTTATTGACCATATTCACGAGTTTATTGGCTGTATTAATTGGCCGCGTTAAACATTTTACTGGCTGTATTTTGAAGATTTATTGACTTTATTGGAGTATCTAGTAAATTTTATTCAAGTTTATGCTCCTACGGCAGATAAAGATGACGACGATATCGAACTGTTTTACCATGATTTGGAACAAGTATTAAAATCAATGAAGAAACATCACACTACAATAGTAATGGGCGACTTCAATGCCAAAGTTGGCCAGGGAAGAGTGGATGGATATGTGGGGGAATATGGCCTAGGAAATAGAAATGAACGTGGTGACCGTTTGATACAATTTTGCCAGACGGAAGAATTTGTAATCGCTAATACACTTTTTAAGCTACCAAAAAGAAGATTGTATACATGGAAATCTCCCGGTGATACTACGAATAGAATAATCCGAAATCAAATTGACTTTGTCCTTATTAGACAAAGATTTCGTAATTCTATACTGTCTGCCAAAACTTACCCTGGAGCAGACATCGGTTCAGGCCATAACCCCATAGTAGTCACATTACGAACCAAAATAAAACTGGTTAAAAAACCCACACAAAGTAGAATTGATATTAAGAGATTAAGGGAACCACAAACAAAGAAACACACTGTAAAAACTCTTACTGAAAATCTACGTAATGCCCAAGAACTGAATAAAAGTAGCTATAACATTGATCAGAAATGGGAAACTATAAAAGTAGCAATAACTAAAACAGCAAATGAAAACTTAAAATCAAAGAATAGAAAACATAAAAATTGGATGACTGAAGAAATACTACTATTAATGAATGAAAGAAAATCATTCAAACAAAAAATCCAATTAAATATAACGAAACTGATCGATTAATAAAAAAGAGAATAAAAGAAGCTAAGGAGAGAATGTTACATGAGCAGTGCCAAGAACTAGAAGAAATTGAGAAAAAATATGACTTTTTTAACATGCATAAAAGAATTAGAGAATTAACAGGAATGAGAAAAACACTTCAAACTAGGCAACTAAGAGATTAAAGGGGTGCACTTATAACAGATATAAACCAAAAAATACTGAGATGGACACAATATATAGCACAACTATTTGAAGACAAAGAGAGAACAGAAGCACCAAAAGAATTTAAGGATGATACTGGGCCTGACATTATACGAGAATAAATTGAATATGCAATGAAACAAGCTAAAGGTGGTAAATCTCCCGGGCCTGATGAAGTTCCTATCGAATTACTTAAAATTGTGAATACTGAATCTATTGATCTTCTTTTGGATCTATTCAATACCATATATAGAACTGGTATAATATCTAAAGAATGGCTCCAATCAACATTCATACTGCTTCCCAAAAAACCCAATACAAAGGAGTGCAATGAACATCGCACCATAGCCTTAATGAGTCATGTCTTGAAATTGTTTTTAAAAATAATTCACAATAGAATACATAAGAAATTAGATGAAGGCATAAGTAATACACAAATGGGATTTAGGAAAGGACTGGGAACACAAGATGCTCTGTTTGCAGTAAGTGTTCTTTCGCAGAGATGCTTAGATATTAATCAGGAACTATATGCCTGTTTTATTGATTTTGAGAAGGCATTTGACAGAGTGCAGCATAATCGACTTAAAGAAATTTTATTAAGTAAAAATATAGACAGTAGAGACATTAAAATCATCTGTAACCTCTATTGGAATCAAACAGCAAAAGTGAAAGTTGAAAACAAACTGACCAAGGATATCCAGATTCGCCGTGGGGTCCGCCAAGGGTGTATTTTATCACCCTTGTTATTCAATTTATACAGTGAAGCCATTTCAGAATTAGCGCTTGCCGAGATCAGTGAGGGCCTTATAATAAACGGTGAGCCACTTAATAACATAAGATATGCTGACGACACTGTCCTTCTGGCAGGAACACTAGAAGAACTGCAAGACCTTGCTGAACAACTAAATATATATTGCAACGATTATGGACTAAAAATCAATTTGAAAAAAAACCAAGTTCATGGTATTTACAAAAGTACAAAACATCAAAGTTAAGCTAGTACTAGATAATACAAAAATTGAACAAATATCTTCGTACAAATACCTTGGAGCATGGATCACAGAAGATACTGATCAGACAAAAGAAATAAGACGCCGCATTGAAATTGCGCGGTCAACTTTTAATTGAATGAGAAAACATTTTTGTAATCGCGATATCAATATATCGCTCCGGATAAGAATGGTTCGATGTTATATTTTCTCTACCCTTTTGTATGGAGTTGAAGCTTGGACACTTAAAAAATCCAACATTAAAAACCTAGAAGCATTCAAAATGTGGTGTTACCGACGCATTTTAAAAATATCATGGATGGATTGCAAAATAAACGAACCAGTTCTCGAACGACTAGGAAAACAATGCGAAGTTTTAAATTCCATAAAAATCAGGAAATTGAAATACTTGGGGCACATCATGAGAGGTGAAAAGTACGAACTACTAAGGAATATAATGCAGGGTAAAATCAAAGGTAGAAGAAGCGCAGGAAGACGTAAAATCTCGTGGCTACGCAATCTCCGTGAATGGTTTGGATACAGTTCAATTGACCTATTCAGGCGAGTAACCAATAAAATTACAATTGCCAGAATGATTTCCAATCTCCGATAGGAGCGGAACTTGAAGAAGAAGAAGGAGTATCTAACCACGTAATTGGTAGGCCACACACAATGGAATAACTGCAGCTCTCAGGAGGACCTAACCGTTTAATTAGGAGGCCATACAAGCAGCCCACTAATGATATCGATACCATAAGTATCATGCTCACTATATTTATTGTAAAGCATTGGCAGGGTTAATTGTTTCCTATTTTTAATAAATATGATTGACGATGATATATATGATGACGATCCTAGTTAAAAATTGTTTAATTTGCTATCAGCTAAGGGTTCATGGTTTGATTCCTGGTGTAAGACAAGACGAACTTACACTTGAGATACTGAGTTAGGCGAAGCATAGACGATAAGCTTTCATGGTTGATTGAGGTAATATTTTTATAACAGTATTTCAATTCTCTTTGGTAGTCTTATCGCTACAAATCTTTATAATAAAACTAATAAACTTAACAACAACAAAAATAACAAACCTATGATTTGGATAACGTAGAGTGGTTGTGGTAGTAGTTCTGTGTCTTAAAGGTTTTCTACTTCTTAGTCTGTGGGTGCTTACTGAAGGGCTAGTAGTTGTAGTAGTAGTAGTAGTAGTTACTGCCGTCGTTTTCCGTCTATATCCTTGAGGTTTTCGTTCTACGAAGTGCTGTCGGGTAGAATCTGAAGTGGCAGCAGTTGTGGTGGAAGTTGTAGTAGATGCGGTTGTTTTTCTTTTATATGTAGGGTTAAATATCTTAAAAGGATGGCCATTAAAATTTTCATCAGCAGTTTTTGGCTTGTATTCTTCATTTGCTGTAAAAACAATAAAAATAGAATATACAAATATGAAAATAACTAAAAATAGGATTAAAGTGATGGTAGGAACCAGACATGAAAAGAATAGTTATAAAGTTAAATAGAACAAGTAAGATCGTTTAATTTATTTAGGAGTTATAATGGATCATCACGGCAGTCAAGAAAAAGAAATAAACAATAGAATAAAAAATCTAATAGTTTTTATTTATATATGAACGAGCAAACTAATTCTTCTATTCAAAAAAGGAGATAAAAAACAGCCAGAAAACTACAGAGATGTAAACTTGTAAAATACTACCCTAACTAACATTTTATAAAAACTAATAAAATAGGGGATAAGTTTAGTTGATGAATACTCACTTACTAAAAACTACACAGAAAGCTAGTATGTGTTTGGGCAGATGTAAACAGATGTGTGGTAAAAACTGGGGACTCAACCCCAAAATGACCAAATGACGTATGGGTCTGTGACGTGGTGGACAAAGACGCAGCAAGTGGGAGTAATAAGGCTGTTAAGTAATACACAAAGGTTAGCATGTCGCGTATTACGGGGGCAATAAAACCAACTCCTGCAGCGGTTTGGAAAGTCTTGCTGAATCTCGCATCACTTCAATTCTTTATACCGAGCAAAGCCATTTCTGTGAGGCACAAATTAATACAGTCAGCAAAACATAAGACAGATGCACAGTGTTGATAACTGAAAGCTTATCAAGGAGGGGAGCTAAAAGCACATTAGTACTAGGGCAACCCATCGATGCAACAGCAACGAGATATAGCTTTACAATAAATTCAAAATTAATATACCAGGCAGAAAAGACTGAAAGGAAGGTGTACCCATACAAGAAGATGTTACGTGGTCCAGTGATGGCTCAAAAACATCTGAGGGTGTGGAAACCAGTATAATACGAAGAAAGCAATGGATACATTTCCCGGTAGGTCTATCTAAGGATGTGACAATTTTTTAGGCAGAAATAACAGCTTTAGCATCACTGCGTGGAAGAAATAGTAAGGCAGAAAAGAACACACCGTTAAATTGCCATCTTCACAGATGGCAGGCAGCGCTTAAATCACTAAATTCTCTAAAGGTTAATTCTAACCTGGTATGGGATTGTGTTGGTGCCCTAAATGAACTAGTAGACCGTAACAAGGTTACTAGGTTAACAAGGTAGCTAGGGTACTAGAGGAAGAGGGTTATAAATGGCCAAACAAGGTTTATGAATGCCATTTATTTGACTGGAACCCATCTGCGGCGTTGCAAAGGCAGTAACAAGGACAGCTACAAGAAAGTCGGTAGCACACACATCTCTGAAATGGTGGAGGAATTCACCACGACAAAGAAAGGCGAAACAGTTTATTATAGAATATTTGCCAAAATTTAGAGCAGACCTAATAAACAAGGACAGGAAAACAGTCAAAGCCATGGTAAGTCTGTTAACAGAGCACTGTAAGTTGAATAAGTAGTTAAAGCTGGGATTCTCACCTAGAGGAAGAAAAAGCCCATTTTGTGTCAGTGCGATACACTGGAAAATGTGTGGTACTTTACATTTTCTAAAGAAAAGCCAGGTACCAGGTAAAGAGCTACATGGAAGGTTCAGTTTCGAAGCTATTAGACCTTTTCAAACGGTCAGGCTAAAGAATGTAATCTAGGAATAAAGAAACCCAATAGATTTGAAACGCTCGCAGTGAAATACGCCAAATGTGACTTCAATAAATCTATTTATCTATCTATCTATGGAGACCTGGACAAAGAAGTGAGAGATTAAGTACAAAAAGCAAATGGACTGGCATGATGCCTTAATAACACTATATGGCGAAGTAGACACATTACTACTGAGATAAAGTCAACAATTTATAAAGCCAGTGTAAAACCAATAATGACATATGCCTCAGAAACAAGACCCGATAATAGAGTGACAACCTTCCATAGAAATATTAATCCGCCAATGAATAAGTAGAATTGCTTATGAAGGAGAAGAAGAGGAAGGAGAAGTAAGTTTTTAAAAATAAAAAGCTTAGCGTGAGAAGTCCTAGGGTGCAAACTGTGAGTCATGTTTTAGCTAACCCAGAAAAAGTCTTACCTTCCCATAAGAAAATAGCAAGAAAATGTAGGGTTTATTAAAAAGACAAATCTCCCACAAGTAACAGCTGGAGACAACAACAAAAAACATTTAATTAATCTATGACAACTACAAGCTATACTAGGCCAGCAGTGTGCTCACAGACCAAACAGTGGCACATAATACACCAGATCTCATATTAGTTAACAAACTAAAGAGACAAACAACATTAATTGATGTGGCGATACCCAAAAACAATAATCAAATACGAAGACATTGCAGAATGAAAAGTACCCAGACAATACCTATTATTCTCTCTACTACTAGAGTCATTCCAACGAACCTCCTAGACAACATAAAAAGCTAGGTCTGAATGAACATCTCTACAAGACTATGAAGAAAGCGGTACTACTCTCAACTTCCAGATGTGTACGAAAATTATAATTTTTGGGAGATACTCCAACATACCAAGTCACCTAGGGCTCGATAACACGGAAAGAGATCCACCAGAGCTCAATCCTTCTGATACCGTAGGTATCTGGGATGAGTGAATTTTCCCCTTAGAGGGAGTGTGAGCCGTATGGCTAAATCTGGATAATACTAATCCAATTTTGTGGCTAGTATTACTGAGAATAATACAATAAAACTATTTTAGTGAAAAACTTACTGAAAAAAATATTTTGATGGTTTATTAAAGGAATATTTTGACAGAAAACTAGTTAAGTAAGCAATGATACAAGCAGCAATGGTAACTACATTAATAAATGAAGAAATATAAACAAAATTAATCTTAAAATATGCTTACCGGAATCAAAATGCATCTTGGGCACACCGAAGTCTATAAGAACACTATCATCGCTTCCTTGTCCAATATGATTAAAATCTACGATTTGCGTCACAGGTCGTTTAGTATAAAGCTCTTCCACGTTATTTGTATTTGCTGCATCGGGCGTTATTGGCAAAACTTTCATAACAGCTTTGGGAGCTCTGTGATTTTCGGGAATTATGGAAGCCTGTTGCAGAATCGTATAAGTGTTATCGGCTTTTGTAATATTCTCCAACAAATCGATTATTTCGCCTCTGGTTAGCCTTGGAAGCTTCGGATTTGATTTTATCATATCCTCAACTTCTTTGACGGTGTTAACAAAAGAAAATGGTGGCTGTAAATTCTGTTTAGTTTCCGGTCTCGGTTCTACCAAAAAATTAACGTCTTCGGGAGAAATTTCATTTGGTGTTGGATCTTGTGGAAAACATTTCATGCTTGAAATCAGTAGAGCTGATACAAATATCTGTATGACCTGAAAAAAATATTTTAATTAGTTTAAATTTATTAAATAATTTTAAATTATATTTCTGTTACAGATTAATTTTCAATAGCAATGTTACTTCAATAATCAGCAATAGATATATAGGTACAAAATATTACAAGTTATACATTTTTTAACACCTAAAGATGAATCAAAACTGAAATTGCTTTTCCACATTGCTAAATATAAAGAACTTTACAGAAACCAACTTAATGTAGAACTTGATATCTTCGACTATATCTGAGTAACATCGAAACAGATATTTATAAGTTATGTGGAAATACTTAAGCATGATCTTCTCACTAATTAGTTTGTTGTTTGTTATTGTATCTACCTATATATATATATATATATATATATATATATATATATATATATATATATATATATATATATATATATATATATATATATATATATATATATATATATATATAAATGTTAACGCATGTTAGGCGGAAGTAACCATTCTGAAGACCATTTGAATATTGCGTCAAGATCTTGTTGAAGAACATGTTGGTTAATAGTTGTCGAGATTGTCGGTACAAAGTGCTCTCGTTTCGCCGTTGACGTCGTTCTAAAGTGTCAACCTGTCAAAATGACATAAGCGATTTGATGAACACAAGGACACTGACGTAAATGCTTTTATTAGCGCCGTAAAGATATATAAATACTGATTGTCTGATTAGTGTCTGATGAAAATTCGTTTAGCGGAATCACGATGCTTTTTGATGACTTCACAGCAAAATGGTATCAATGCGTTAAAGATGCCATTTCGACATGGGAGCAACTTGTTCGCCTATTAGGAATTACGGAAGGAAGCAAGACAGAAAGACAACAGTGTACGTCTTTGTTTGCCAATGTAGAGCTGTTCACGCGCAATTAAAACCAAGCAGCCTTACAGAAACAATCCAGCTAGATATGGTGTATGGTCTACTACATAAAGCGATTAGAGAGAAGATTTTTCAAGATGCAGTTTCCAATTTTACTGAGCTACATTCAAGATGTGTTCGATAAATTTAATTCGAAGGAGGATAAATCTCCTCATATTAGATAATCGTATAAAAATAGACCGCGTATTTCTTCCTCATTCGTTCCTTCATTAGAAGCGCCTCATTCTTCTTCAGCCTTCATTTATCCATTGTTGGACATAGGCCTCTTCCAATTGCTTTCACGCTTCCCTATCTTTTGCAATTCTCATCCACTGTTTTCCAGCTACAGCTGTTATATCGTCTATCCATCTCTTTTTGGGTCTTCCCACGCTTCTTTTTGTTTCTAGGGGTCTCCAGAATGTCACTTTATGAGACCATCTGTTGGTGTCTTGTCTTGCCACATGTGCTACCCATTGCCACCTCAATGTCGCTATTTTTCCCATGATGTCGGTTACTTTAGTTCTTCGACGTATTTCGGTGTTAGGAATTTTGTCTCTGAGGCTTATATTTAACATGGCCCTCTCCATGGCCCGTTGAGTTATTCTTAATTGTTCTGCCATTTTTCTTGTTATTGCCATAGTTTCCAATCCATAAGTTGCAACTGGTAGTATACAAGTGTCATAGGTTTTTCGTTTTAAGTGATTAGTATTAATATTTTATAGTGGCATAAATCTTGTTTCTCTCTTTTACACACGGCGCAGGCTCAGCACCCGTTCTGTCATAAGCGCCTCATTAACAATCAAAAAAACAATGTTTTAAATTAAATAAACCCAAAGTACTTATAGGGAACTGATAGAACAAGATTTGCTCTTCAATTTAGGGACTTGATGATTTCAAAAATAATATTTCTTACTTGTGTTTGTAGGCATTGAAAATAATCATTTTTCGGTCTGTTGAGTTTTAAATTATTTTTAACTTGAAAACGAAAAATTTTGGACCACAAAAATTGATTTTTACAGTTTGTAAAAAGAAAATTTGTGGAAATAAATTAGGACCACTTTTCGTATAGGCAACCTCTTGAACCTTATTATGAGGTATCTGATAAAAGGGATTATGCAAACAAATCTTATAGGTATATTTTTCGAACGAGTTTTTCGCCTTGTCTAATTATTTATGCCTCCTACTTGAGTTCCGTATTTTTTATAGCCCACAACTTTATTATTTGCCACCTTCAATCAACATTTTTATTATTTCTGTTTCAAAATATTAATCACCATAATTCTTATCTTAATTTAAGTATTAATGAGTTGTGATTACATACATACTTCGCTTACTAGACATATTTATTTATGCTAAACACATTAACTGTATTTTAGTAGCACAATATTGAAAATTCTAACTATTGAAAAGTTATTACATGAAACATATTTTCTTATTCTTTACCTTAGAAGTTGCAAGTGTTGTAAATGGGGCTTTCACATATGAAGGCACTTTTTCTATTTTCAAATTGTTTTTAGACACCGATTTTGTTATGCTCTTTTTCTAATTAATTTGTTTAAGCTTAAGTCATGTTATTAGTTTGGATTTTGAATACTAAGATATTAATTACATATTTTAAGTCTGTCCAATGATATTTTCCGTGTAGTAATTAAATCTACATTTTTTGTCAATACGAGGATAAAATTGTTTTTTTCTCGATGTTGGCTGAAATTTAAGATTGGGCTTCTCTTACCAAAAGCAGAATTGCCCCCCCCCCGTATCCGATGGGGCGTTGAAGCTGTGGATTACCATCCGGGGAACTATATAAAGCATGACGCCAAAACCCCCACTTTGGACGACCTGCACTTTCAGCCGCCCATTCTGGATCCGACGCTGTTTGCAGCCGCCCACTCTGGATCAGACACTGCTTGATTCTATACAAACCCTAAAATATGGGGTCGCCACTTCCGCCATCCTCGCCGTACCGAAGGTTTCCCTCTCCGCCGTGGCTGCCGTTGAGGTCTTCATCCGTAACCCTGGACAAGGGACCCTAAGCAGGTACTAGTTTCCTGCATCAGGAAACACCTGGAATCTGTGGGGGGCAGGGAATGATTCATTTTTCCCTGATAGGACTATCCAAGAAATTCCCCATGGCCAGCACGCAGTCCCGAACTAAATCCTCTAGACTTTCACTTGTGGGGGTACCTAAAGTCATTTATTTAGATATATAAAAAAAATAAGCGTCCTCTATAACCGGATGTAGCAAATGGATGAAAATATTTTCTTTCAAAACCTCTTCATTCCAATTTTCATGATCTGTAGATGTTGATTACGCTGCGCCGTCCCCTATAATTTAATTACAGAAATTGTTTTTCAAACGTTCGAGCCCATATTTTATTATTTTATGACCCATAATTTTTTATTTGTTACCTAATTAATTTTTTATTTAAAAATCTCAATATCCATAACTTCTGTCAACATAATTTATGAGTTACATGAGTATAAATTGAAATTGCTTCACAAATTGCTTTCAAAAATGGCAACAATGACTCTTATTTTCCTATTCTTTAGTCTAGTAGTTGTGAGTGCTGACGCTTTCACATATGAAGGTAATTTCTCTAATAATCTTTTTTTATACATTTTTTTTGCTATATTTATCATGTATTAGGTTCTAGTTGATCACAAGATTCAAGTACGCACAATAGCCTCCCGGCGTATGGCACCCATCCATTGGAAACCATATTTCTTCTTCATGTGGAGTTACTTCTGCAAGTAACTTTTCGGAATTTAAATTTTTTCATAGAAAATATTAATAATGTCCAATAATATTTCCAACCATTTTACTTTCCAACCATATTACCAACCATTTATTTTTCCAAGACATTAGTTATTTCAACGATTGTTATTCATGGTAACCTCAGGCTTTCTTGTCGACCAAATCCTATAATTTTAAACACTTGCTTAAATATTTAATTTAAATGTACGTTTATCGAATAAAAAAATGTTTTTTTAATTGTTTGTCTGCATACTTCTCTCTAAAATTTCATAACAAAATTCCGCTTAGCATATTCTTCTCTTAGTTTTTGATGACATTAAAATTTATATGAACGGAATGTATTTTTTTTTCAAAAATTTTAAGGCTGTGAAATTATGAACGTCAAACTGGTCTGCAATATTTCGAAAAAGTTAAAATATTGATTTCGTTTTGATTTCTTGGTACCTCGGCAATATTCTTTCTACATGTACAATTAGGAATCAAGTTCCAGTATTTTCAAACGTTTTTAAAGATCTTTTAATTGTTCAAAAACTTGTTCTATTGGGATATCTAAAGCTGCATACAAACCAAGTTGCTGAACCGTTTGCAAACAGTTGTGTGGACGAAAGTTTGTAATGGGTTCGCGAACAGTTCGCTGTTCGCTCAAAGTTTACTTGGATAGCGGTAACATCGACAGGTTTGTCCGTGAATAACCAGTTAAGGCGGGTTGATACGATCCAAGTGTACTTATCTAAAGTCTGCTTGAACGTTGCGCGCGCATCACTTGAAAGCTACTTTGATCGTGTCACTTGTTCATCCAAGTACACTTATATCAACAGGCTCTATCCAAGTTTAGTAGGACACTGGCCAAATTCCTTGGATCCAAGTAGTGCGGTATTGTAAAATTAAAATGGCGTCGGTGTGGAAAAATCGAAAACGAGAAGAAAATATAGAAAAAATGGTCTGAAAGGGAGAGTTAGATTCATGGAGTTATACAAAGCTGAGGAAACATTATGGAATGTACGAATAAAGAAATATAAAAATAAAGATGCTAGAAGTGCGGCATTTTTTCTTTTTTATTCCTTTTTTCTGGATTTCAAGCTCATGTTTAGTAACCACAAGAACACCTTTCACAATCACTTCCGCTATCTTTACAATGGTTATTTGATATCCAAATCATTTAACCGTGGCAACCAGCTTGGTACAAGTACACTTGTACAAGTCCACTTGGTCCAAGTTGGAATCCAAGCATTCTTAGATCGTGTCAACCCGCCTTTAATAAACAAAACTGATCTTGAAGTTCGCTTAAACCGACAATAGGTTTGTATTGTATTTACTTTAATTGGAGGTTATTATATAATACTCTTTTATCAATTCTTTTAGCA